ATTCCTTGAGGCTCGGCATTCGCCCCAAAGGCTTACCTTGGCCCAATGCCGAGCCTCAAGGAATTGTGGGAGTTGAAGTCCACCACAGCTGGAGGGCCAAAGGTTCCCTACCCCTGGTCTAGAGGCATTCTCTCCTGACGTTTCGCCTGCATCTATGGCAAGCATCCTCAGAGGTAGTGAGGGTTTTTGGAACTAGGAAAATGTTTTGGAACTAGGAATGCCAAGTTTTCAAATCTTGTGGGTTTTTTGTTGTTGTTTGCATTTTAAAAACATTACAATGGTACCCTTGGTTTGCTCTTGATACGATAAAAAAATATCCTTGCCTGTCTGTTGTGTGATACGACTCATAATCCTGGGCAATAGGGATAATGTGTTTGACTACTGCATTGAGAACACTAATGTGGAAAAGCAGCAAAACAATTAGAATAAAATTAAAAGAGTACCAAGGGCATAAGGGATAGGTGTTCAATGTTTGCACATGAAAAGAAAGCCAACTCTAAACATCGTCTGTGCAACCGAAAGGTGGCAGTAGATCCTTCAACAACACTGTTTTCACCAGGCAGCCATGACGTCATCTGGGAAATTGCAAGCTTGTCTGGCTATAAGACATAAGAAAAAGACATTCTGGATGCTAGACCAGGATGATACTGTTCTCTTTCTATAAGCAAGGAAAACTTTAGGATTTTAAAGGAAGGAGAGATCGTTGTTTACATATTTTGTGGCTTTGACATTGCCCTAGTTTGAGAATTACACCAGATTTTGGATTTTTAATGGATTTTTGGCATCCTTCCTCACCCTCATTTGAGCTGTCACGCAAATGTGGATCAGACTCAAACTACAATTCCTAGCATGCCTTGCATAGTTTCCTGTGCCACCTGCTGTCATTTCCCTTGGGAGGATTGCCTACAACTCCCAGACAGCCTTGCCGGATTGAGCTTTGATGTCTCCTTTAACCCTCTATATACCAATTCATTATTTGGATGTACAGCACTGTCACCGGCAAAGTTACAACATTACAGCTCCTCTTCCCAGAAACTCAGTGCAGTAACCTAATATAATTTTAATGATGCTCTCACAGAAGCTTCAGAGTGCTTCTGTTCAACCATCTCAAAGCTCCCTGCTTGAGCAGTAATGGCAAGTCACTCTAAGCACCTTCACAGAAGCATACGAGAAGCTCGGTCTGTCATTGAACATCGAGAAAAGCAAAGTGCTGTTCCAGCAGTCACCAGCCAATCCCTCTCCAATGCCAGAAGTACAGTTTAATGGTGTAACATTAGAAAATGTTGACCATTTCTGCTACCTTGGCAGACACCTCTCCACAAAAGTCAACATTGACACTGAAATAAAACACCACCTGAGCTTTGCGAGTGCAGTTTTTCCCCGAAAGAAGCAGAGAGTGTTTGAACATCTGTAGGAATACCAAGGTGCTTGTTTATAAAGCCATTATCCTCCCAACCCTGCTATATGCCTGTGTGACGTGGACTGTCTAAATATGTCACATGTAACTCCTAGAACAATTCCATCAGCGCTGCCTCCGGAAAATCCTGCAAATCTCTTGGGAAGAGAAGCAGACAAATGTCAGTGTGCTGGAAGAAGGAAAGACCACCAGTACTGAAGCAATGGTCCTCCGCCATCAACTCCATTGGATCGGCCACATTGTCCAGATGCCCAACGACCATCTCCCAAAGCAGTTGCTCTACTCTGAACTCAAGAAAGGAAATGGAATGTTGGAGGGCAGGAAAAGAGATTTAAAGATAGGCTCAAAGCCAACCTTAAAAACTCTGGCATAGACACTGAGAACTGGGAAACCTGGCCCTTGAGCGCTCCAGCTGGAGGTCAGCTGTGACCAGCAGTGCTGCCGAATTTGAAGAGGCACGAATGGAGGGCGAAAGGGGGAAGCGTGCCAAGAGGAAGGTGTGTCAAGCCAACTCTGACTGGGAACGCCTTCCACTGGAAACCAATGCCCTCACTGCGGGAGAAGATGCAGATCAAGAATAGGGCTCCACAGTCACCAACGGACCCACTGCCGGTAAACTGATCTTGGAAGACAATTCTACACGGACAACGAGGGATCGCCTACGTAAGTAAGTAAGTTATTGTGAACATGCGAGTCAGACAGATGTGTAAAGCTTATGCACACTTAGTGGGTAAATGGGGCATGATTAGGACTGGAATTTTGGGGAATTTCAGAGTGGGGGTAGGGAGTAGGGATACCTCTCAAGGTCATCTGGTTGTAACTCTATTTTGGGTGGGATAGGATAACAGATCTGAGAAGTATAAAATTTATTCCAGACATCCCCACCTTCTCGATGCCTGGTTCCAAGCCACCCTCTTCTCCAGTTTCCAAGAACATACTGCATTCCTCCCCGAGAAGAGGTACCCAGAACCGCCCATCCGTCCTAATATGTGCTGGGCCGTGCAAGGAACAAGTAAGTCCCAGGGCATGACATTTAGGGGGGGGGGGGCACTCTTTGCAAATGTCAAATGCCTGTTAGCATCAGGCAATGAGACCAACCAGCCTTCTAAACCCCCAAATCCTGTTCTCTGCTTCTCTTTTGGCCTTGATTCCAGATCAGATTTTCTATCCCCTTGTATCAATACTTACCCAATATTTAGGAGGACCAGGATACCCAAAGGCCTATAAAATGATGGACCCAGCTATGTTGTTTCAAAATAATGGCTTTGCTCTTTTCCTGTTTTCCAGATGACTCTGAGCCAACCAAGGCCCATCAGTACTTCTCAAAACAAACAGAACCAAGTAATACCAACTCAACAGGTATTCCCAGGAACCAACATTCACCAAGAAGTATATAAATAATTCTGTACAAAATAATCAAAGCATAGAGTTGGAAGAGAACATAAGGGCCATCCAGTCCAAACCCCTGACATGCAGAAACAAGTCTATATATGCTTGCCATAGATGCAGGCGAAACGTCAGGAGAAAATGCCTCTATAATATGGCCATATAGCCTGAAAAAACCTACAACAACCCTGTCTATATATTACTACCAAAATCTAGAATATCTATAATTTATTTTAAATATTCTAAGCCACTTCTTCAGTAGCCATCATCTCCTAGTTCTTAAAATAATTAAAATAATATAAAGGAAAAACTATGGCATGGATCATAAAATACAGGTTGAGTATTCCTTCTGCAGAAATTTGAAATGCTCCAAAATTTCAATTTGTTTTCATGCGGGGCTGAGAAACTGACACCTTTATTTTCTGATAGTTTCGTGTATGCAGACTTTTTTCATGCACAATGCTTTAAAAATTCAAGCCATGTGCTTAAGGTATGCATAAAACATAAACACATAATAATAAATAATAAAACTTTATTTATACCCCGCCACCATCTCCCTGAAGGGTCTCGGGGTGGTTAAAATGAGGCCAAACCCAAACGAATCGTTGTTGTTGTTGTTCATTCATTCAGTTGTTTCCAACTCTTCATGACCTCATGGACCAGCCCACACCAGAGCCACGTCAGCCGTCACCACCSCCAGCTCCTTCAAGGTCAATCCAGTCACTTCAAGGATGCCATCYGTCCTTTTTTCCTTCCATCTTCCCCAGCATAATTGCCTTCTCTAAGCTTTCCTGTCTTCTCATGATGTGGCCAAAGTACTTCATCTTTGCCTCTACTATCCTTCCCTCTAATGAGCAGTCAGGCTTTATTTCCTGAAGTATGGACTGGTTGGATCTTCTAGTGGTCCAAGGCACTCTCAGAACTTTCCTCCAACATCACAGTTCAAAAGCATTCAAACGAATTGCAATGGAGCAAAATACATCTAAACAAGACGATAACATCAAATAAAATGCTTAGTGATAACATAGTAAAATAAAAGTAATAAAATCATAATAAAAACAAATAATAATAATAATAATAATAATAATAATAATAATAATAATACTTTATTTGTACCCTGCTACCATCCCCCCAAGGGACTCGGTGCTGCTTACATGAGGCCGAGCCCAAACACAACAATACAAGCAATAACAACAACAATACAAGCAATTAAAAACAGATAGACAATAAGAAACAACATTATCAATAAGATAACACATAATTAAAAACAGTGGGAAGGCCAAATGTTAGGTTAAAATTGGAAATAATGCTGGGACATGAACGGAAGGTGATACTGGTGTATGTGGAAGGGATACGAGCAGACCTAAAGAAATGTAAAATGCTTTGGAGGACAAAGTGCTATGGGGTCATTATTCCAGGAAGGCACACTGGAACAGCCACATCTTCAAGTTCCTCCTGAAGACTGCCAAAGTTGGAGCCTGTCTGATGTCTTTAGGGAGTGAGTTCCACAGTCGAGTGGCCACCACCGAAAAGGCCCTCTCTCTCGTCCCCACCAATCGCACCTGCGATGCTGGTGAGATCGAGAGCAGGGCCTTCCCGGATGATCGAAGGGATCGTGTGGGTTCGCATACAGAGATGCGATCACGCAGGTAATAAGATAGGTAAATGATAACATGGTAATAGAATTGGACAAAGAGAGTGATTTAGATTTGAGTCCCATCTCCAAGATCTCTCATTAAATATATGCAGATATCTCAGAATTAAAAAAAAATCGAAAATCCCACACATATTTGGTCCAGAAGTACTCAGCCTGTATTGCAGGGGTCCTCAAACTAAGGCCCGGGGGCCAGATATGGCCCTCCAACATCTTTACTCGGCCCTTATTCAGGGTCAACCTAAGTCTGAAATGACTTGAAAGCACACAGCAACAGCAACAATCCTATCTCATCAGCCAAAAGCAGGTCCACACTTCCCACTGAAATACTAATGAGATTATATTTGCTAAAATTGTTTTAAAGTGTTTTTTGCACCACAAATAAGATATGTGCAGTGTGCATAGGAATTCATTCATGTTTTTTTAAAATTATAATCTGGCCCTCCAACAGTTTGAGGGACTGTGACCTGGCCCTCTGTTCAAAAAGTTTGAGGACCCCTACTGTATCGGATACATGGGTCCCATTTCCTCATATAATATAGGATGAAAAGGGTATAATTGTATAGATTGGCTCTAAATAGAACTTTTGCATTGTGGGTCTCCTCGAGTAAATAATATAACAGCCTTCCTGTAAACAATTTGTTTAGCCTGAATTAAAGAGTCAGCAGATGAAAATCACTTTCCCCTTTATTCCTCTTAGATCATCTTCACAGGCGGATGTCAACAAATACCTCTTCGTTCGGAGCCATTACCACAGGAGGTCCCACCAGCAAACTCAGGCTTTACACCATCCTCCTGTAAGTAAAAACAGGGGAGAAAAGGTGACATTGGTCAGCACGGCTGCTTACCCATCATGACCTGGCTTTATTGCAGGGATCAATACTGAAAAATGGGAACGGACTCACCAAGACACTCTCCCTGCAGCCTACTCCAAAGAGAGGTCGCCTGGGAAGCAGTTAGTTGTGGACACCACCCCTTACCTCCATAATAATGTGGAAAGGTGAGCAGACAGACCTTCTTCTCTATTTCCCTGCTTAAATTGGGCTCTTTTGTAACAAAGGCTCCAGCTGCCTTTCAGAAGAACCCAAACCTTTCAGTAAGGGACTGTGCATCTCCTACTGCCCTTTGTTTCATTACAGAAGCAGCTCCCAAGAGTTAAGATTTCCTAGATGTTCTCTAGAATTTATTTTTGTGTTGTTTACAAACAAAGTTATTCTTTTCATATTTGAATCTGGATCCCAGGATAATTCTACCATTAGGCAGCAGATGTCAGGGGCCATAGGAGGAAAATAAATAAATTTGATGGATATTTCGATTCCTAAAGTTTGGAGCCCCCAGTGGCACAGTGGGTTAAACCACTGAGCTACTGAACTTGCTGACCAAAAGGTCGCCGGTTCAAATTTGGGGAGCGGGGTGAGCTCCTGCTATTAGCACATACAACACAATAGCCCACTTGTACACAGAAAGAAAAATAAATCAATTCAGCCAATAATGTGACTGGTGCAACTTATTATACAGTTCCAAATCATAGCATTCACAAAACAATATTATATGCATTTGGTACAGTCACTCAAAAAAGTATCAACGCTGTATGTTCTTGCATCAAGTTGAACTTAAATCCGTAGTCCATGACTGGTTTCGACCTCACTCCAGGCCTTCCTCTGGTGGAAAGATTATAAACTTGGTACTTGTTCCCCTTAGAAATAAAGGTTTTTATGTTTAGTGGGATAAGATACTCTCCTCTGTATTTGATTCTAATTGTGAGTATTGCAAACGCATATAATATTGTTTTGTGAATGCTATGATTTGGAACTGTATAATAAATTTCACCAGTCACATTATTGACTGAATTGATTTATTTTTCTTTCTGTGTATAAGTGGGCTATTGTGTTGTATGTATTAATTTAGGAACCCATTCATATTTTGTCTCCCGCTATTAGCCTCAGCTTCTGCCAACCTAGCAGTTCGAAAACATGCAAATGTGAGTAGATCAATAGGTACTGCTCCGGCGGGAAGGTAATGGCACTCCATGCAGTCATGCCAGCCACATGACCTTGGAAGTGTCTATGGACAACGCTGGCTCTTCAGCTTAGAAATGGAGATGAGCACCAACCCCCAGAGTTGGACATGACTAGACTTTATGTCAGGGGAAAACCTTTACCTTTAACGTTTGGATTTAGATCTAGAAGAATGAAAGACTTGAGAACAGAATAGAATGAAACAATTGAAAATATTTAACCTGCAAGGGAGAGGGAAAACAAATAAAGCTAGGTTAAATAATTATGACTGTCTCATTGTATTTTGTGTATGTGTATGTACTCAGAGGGGGTTTCCCCAGTTCTTTCCTCTGAAATATACATAGTTACAGCAGTTGGTATTAGTTGGGCCTGGTGTTGTTTTGGCCATTGGCTTCTCTTCTGGCTTGGCCGGGTTCCGGTGCGGCCTCCTTTCCAAAACCCATAATTTCAGCTTTATTTTTAAACCCCGCCGGGAAGGGAAGGAAGGGCGAGGATGTGATGTCATGTCTGCAAACCAAGTATTTTTCCCCCCTTGCTTTTTTGAGAGGCCCGAGGGCAAGGAAGGTGGGAAGAGAGCTGGCTGCTGCAAGTCCTGCCACAGAAGCCTCGGGACCTCAAGGGCAAGTTTTGATGATGAATTATGACATGCAATAATTCTGAGATTATTTTAAACCTTGAGATTATTTTAAACTTCTAAAGTTTTTATTTTTATCTGGAGACTGCTGACCTTGATTTCCTCCTCTCTTACTGAAGATTGTTTTGGTGCAGCTAATACAGCTTTAAAGGCTTTAGATGCTGTTTGGAACTGTTTGGAAAACACCTAAGCTGCCTTTGGAAGTGCTAATAAATTAAACTTTTATCACAATGGTTTACACAAGAAACAATTATAAGGAGAAAGCTTTACCTCTACACGGACAAACACTAGCAACTGGGAAGATACAGCTAGCTGTTAAGTCTGTTGAGACCGAAGAGAGGAGGCTTTCTGCACAAGAGAGGAGACAAAGTCAAACAAAAATGACTAATTTTTTCCCTCTGGAAAGATTGCACCAGGGGCAGTTGGCGAACTCTGTGGAGGGCCCAAGGATTGCAAGGGTGGGCAATATTGCCATGACTGCTGAAGAGATGAAGGACTGGCCGATTGACACCAAAGGGCTATTATTGAAGGAGAATAATATTATGGACTCAGGTGGTGGGAGAAGCTTGGCTGAGGAACTGGCACAAGCTGAGATGGAGAGTTCTGAGGCTATTGCAACACAAAACTGGAGCTTGGACCCAAAGCCAGGAAAGCCCCCAACCTTATCTCCAGAAGAGGGTCACTTTAATTCTCACACACCAAAGAATCTCTTACAACAGTATCCCTACCTTGACTTGCAACAAGGAGAAGATTCAAACGAGGGCTGTTTGCACCTGGAAGCTAAGTTTGCTGCCTTCTCTAATGATTTGCTGATAATTAAGAATTACCTACAGGAAAGTACTGGGCTCCTGAGTACTCTAGCAAAAATAATTAAAGCGGAAGTCTTGGAGAGCCGGTGCAACGGTGATTCTATTAAGGCAATATCGGCCGTCAACACTCTAGATACAACCAGGCAGGACACAACTATCTTATGCTGTAGTGATAAAAGAACAAAACAGACAAAAGCAGATAAAAGCAAGCATCTTAAAGTCAACTGTAAGAGCCAGGAAAAAATAATCATGAACAGCAAAAGTGAGATGAAACAAAAGACAGCATGCAAACAAATAAAAAGTTCCAGAAATCATAAACGCGGCTTAAAGAAACTCCTAGCTCTAATTCCATCTTCAAAAACCTTGGTAACAAGAAGGAGGAGGAGGAAAAAAAGTTTCCCAAAGCTGAGTCACAGTGCTACCAATGATGGCAAAGTGGATAGAACCATGGTGACAAATCCTGGAGCCCAGAAGATTAACATAACAACACAAACCTATTGGGAATCTCAGATGACCAATACGACAGGAGAGAAAGATGGTAGGAACCCAAAAAAGGTAGAAGCAATAGATGGACCTAATCTGCCAACAGTAAAACAACAAAACTGTAGACAAAAGATTAATGGACATTATAAGGACAATTGTAACTTAGTCCTTATGCCAAACAAGCTGGTGATTATAAAAGTTCCTAAACCAGGAAAGATTTTAAGTTTAGAAGATCGGAAAAATCATGTGATAGGACTTTTGAATAATGTTCTACCAGGGGGGTTGTACACAACGGACATAGACCAGATTGATTACTTACATAATGACTCAATGCATGTTGATGCCATAGTCTCCTTTATCGACCCAAATATAGCCAAATTTGTCATAAGAGCTAGAGACCTATTTTCAAAACAAGGCATCAAGATAACAAGATTTTTTAAGAAGGTCTTCACTCAAAGAGTCCTAGATGGTACAGTGAGACTGGAGGAACAGCAACCAGCACTTAAAGTGGGAAATGAACAACTGCTGAAACCCCATAAGGTTCAAGCCACCAGGCCAACAAAAGAAGAAAAAAGTGCTGATGGGCTGGGGAACCTTGTTTGTGACGAGGAACAGTCACTGGTGGAGGCATATGCAAATTTGCCAAAAAAAGAGCAATGGGCTATCCTGGAGAGGTTGGAGGCACTAGGTAACCATCTAAGGGAAATATATACAGAAGGGCTGTGTTTGAATGAGGCAGGACACACTAATACAGTGGGATGGCAAGGAGCAGCTCAGAATGGTGGGAACTGGTTGGAGATGAGATTTTTGGACTCTGAGGAGAGATTTGAGCCTTCCATTAAACACCCCCCACTGACCCCGGAGGTGAAAGTTGTGAAACCCCAGATTGCTAATCCATGTGTTGTTTGTGATGGTCCATGGGAGGCCCTTGTAGGTATTGAAGCAGAGGACAAGGGACAAATTGCAAGAGAAGCATGAATGCCAAATACAGATTGTGGTTTGAAACAGCCCCCCATCACACAATCTTTTCAACAGGTGGTGCCTAGAAATAAAGAGAACATGGTAAAGGGGTGCTCTACTCAACCACTCAGAAATAGGGATATTCAGAGGCTTGGTTATCAAAGAAGGACAGGAGGGTTATTGAATCTGACAAGGAGACAGCATGATGGGCTGGTGGAGCCTGTGCAAGCTGAACCGCACCTAACTGAGGCTGATGAAGTAAAAAATGAAACACCTCCTACTCAGCCCTCTTTTTTGCAACCTCCACCAGCCCCAAAAGTGAAAATCTTGCAAACAAAATCATCTAACCTTAACTGTCTATCCTGGAACATAGCAGGGTGGCAGACCAGAAGTAAAGAGGAAGGGGTTGGTAAATTTTTGAGGAATTTTGATATTATTTCGCTACAAGAGACATGGAGCAAAGGACCTCTAGATTTTAATGGATACACTATAATTGACTCCCTGGCTAAAGTGGAAAAAGGTAGAGGGCGACCGAAAGCAGGCCTGGCCATTCTGCTGTCTACATCCCTTGGGGCTAAAGTTAAACCACTTGACAACTGCAGCCATATAGCTATGGCCTGTCACATAGAATATGGTCCTACACAGATACTCCTGGTTAATGTATATATTTCTCCCAGCCGCAAAAGGGCAGAGCTAATTCGTACTTGGGAGGAACTAGAAGATTATATAGTAATGTTAGAATCACACTTTCCAAAATCTGATCTAATTGTTACAGGAGATTTTAATGCTCGCCTAGGCCCAGATAATCCAACTTTACTAGCCTCTAAGTTTTGGCACTTAGAAGATATGGATGGCCACTTAAACAAGATAGATAGGAAATCTAAGGATAACAGGATCAACTTTGCAGGTACATGCTTAGCGCAGATGACAACAAGACTAGCTTTAAACATAATAAATGGTGACCCTAAATTTGAGAATTGTGCGGAATTTACCTATATATCAGGATGCGGAAGCAGTGTAATTGATTACGTGCTAGTGGCAAATCACACTTATAAATATATAGAGAATTTCACCATAGTACCCAGAACAGAAAGTGACCATCTCCCAATCTCTTATACAGTAGGTCTTCCTAACGTGGAACGCTTAAGCCCACAACAATATTTAGACAAATCCACTCTACATGTAAGACAAAACAGACTTAAATGGGGCACAAAAAACCAAAACAAACCCTCAGCAACTTCAGACCCCATGCTACTGGTGGAGTTGGGAAAAAGCATAGCAGAAACAGAAAATGCGGAGGAAGCAGTATCAAAATACACACAACTTACTGATGAATTAATTGTCTCAGGGAAAAATCTAGAAGGCAGACTTAGGATCCAAAACCAAGGAGAGAGGGCCTCAGATACACAGAAAGAATGCTCAAAGCTAAGAAAGAAGTTAATTCAAATATATCAATCTTATAGAGCAGAAAACTCCCAGAATCTCCCCAAATTGTACTACACTACCAAAAAACAATACAAAGCCATGTTAGTGAGAAACAAGAGGGAAAAAATAAACAGAAAATGGAATGCCCTGGTTGATGCTTCCCTAAATAGCAACTCCAAGCAATTCTGGGCCCTGGTCACGGGAATGCTGGGTTTTGGGAAAACATCTCCCAAATGCCATATACCAGCACAGGTGTGGGAAACATACTTCACTTTACTATATGGATCAAATGAAGAAACAGTCAGAAGGGAGGGGAAAGAAAATGCAGTCTTCTCCACTGGTACCATAGACACACCACAATGGCCCCCAGTGACCAGTGGGGAGATAAAAACTCTGATCTCATCACTTAAAAATGGTAAGGCCCCAGGGCCAGATCAAATACCCCCTGAATTTCTAAAAAATAACATCTCGTGGTGGACGGCCTTCCTAGCCCCCCTCTTCACACACATCAACCGCACAGCCTTAATTCCTGCCTCATGGTCAAAATCTACTTTAATCCCGATATTTAAAAAAGGGGATAAAAACGATCCAGCGAACTACCGCCCTATCAGTTTACTCTCTGTGGTGGGTAAACTTTATGCTCGCCATCTATATAGCAAGCTTCTAGACTGGTTAGACTCAGAAAAAGTAATAGGTGAGGAACAGGCAGGCTTTAGAAAAGGGAGGTCTACCATAGACCATTGTACCGTGTTGAGCCACCTAGCAGAAAAATACCAAGCCCCTCCCTACAAAGGACTATTTACCGCCTTTATAGATCTAAAAGCTGCCTTTGACTCTATTCCAAGAAATTTACTATGGCAAAAACTACAGAAGACCACAATTGACAAAAGATTGCTCTGGTTAATTAAGAGCTTATATTCAAACACTTCAACACAAGTAAGATGTGGAGTACAAGGCAATCTCTCAAAACCAATAGCAGTAAATAGGGGGGTGCGCCAGGGGTGCATCCTGGCCCCTATTCTGTTTAACCTGTTTCTGAACGACCTAGCCACCCATGTCTCACTGCCAAATGGACATCCCCCTAAAATCTCATCCACCAATATACCGCTATTGTTATATGCAGATGATGCTGCCCTCATATCTTACACCAAGGTAGGACTCAAGCGAGTGCTGAGTGCATTCTACCAATACTGTGAGAAAAACCAGCTAAAGATAAACTATAGTAAAACCAAAATCATGGTCTTCTCAAAGAAGAGAGCCAGACATAATTGGTACATGGGAAAGAACTTAATTGAACAAGTTTCCAGTTTTAAATATCTAGGGGTTACCTTTCAAGCCTCAGGTTCCTGGGGATGCCACCAAAAATGGCAGTTCAAAATGCCCTATCCAGTAGTAAAGCAATAATTCGCTTTTTTTACACCAAAGGTGGCCAGTATATACCAGCAGCAACAAAGGTCTTCCAAGCAAAGGTAACAGCCCAATTATTACACGCAATTCCGGTATGGATCACAGGCTTCACATCTAAAGTAGAACAAGTTCAATCAGGGTTTCTTAGAAAACTGTTTGCTGTCCCCAGTTGTGTTCCATCTGCTGTTTTAAGACTGGAATCAGGAACAGCCTCACTCGAATCACTGGCTTGGAGAAGGGCCCTAGGATACTGGATGGAGAGGGTGCACAAAGGGCCTGAAGCGGGATATACATATCTGATTCAAAAAGACCTCTTTAAATCCCACCGAATGAAAGCGCTAAATCAGAAACTCAGGCAGATGGGCCTCTCAGAGAATACATTGAGCGGTTTTGAGCATAAAAAGTTAATGCAGATCTTAGCGGAACGGATCAGTGACATAGACAAACAGGACTCAATGACTCTGGCGCGCTCCACATGCTCTCCATTGAGTTTAGGCCTAACATTTAATTCTTTGGGAGGTGCCAAATACTTTGAAAATTTAAACATCCCAAAATTTCGCCTTGCTTTCAGTTGGGCCAGATTCAATGCCCTCAAATCAGCCATACTAGAGGGCAGATACAAAGGGACTGATTACGAACACAGAGTTTGCCCATGCGGGGAGGGTAAAATTGAAACTGTAACACATGTACTTTTTATTTGCACAATTTACAAGGATGATAGACTAAGGTTAATATCCTCTCTACTCACCAAGTGGCCAGGGAGATCCCTAAGTTGGTACTGCACTTATTTACTGTCTGATCTTGACAAAAGGGTAACGGAACAGGTGGCCAAATTTCTGTTTGCAGCGGCAAAAAGCCGCAAGTGCTTCATGAATAACCTGTAAAGGTTGAGTGTAACAAAGAGTACTCGGGAGACTTATTATTAACTTGCAATCAGTTTCTGTTTTAGATTATATAGACAGCCATTCATCCGATAGCGAATGGTGATACTTGTTTTTATTAATTATAAGCCAAATGTGATGTTATTAATTGTAAATTGTTGTATTTCATCATTCTACTTTCACTTGACTTAGCCGATGGTTTGTTGACCGAAATAAAGGCTACTGACTGACTGACTGGTATTAGTTGGTAGTCTCTCATCCAGGTTCTGACCAGGATTAAACCTGCATAGTTTCCAAGATCAGACAGGATTTTGTCCGAACTTGGCAACCGAGTAGAACTTTATAGAATCATAAAGTTGGAGGGCACCACCAACTAACCCCCACCACACTGGAATATATAACCAAAGCACACCCAACAGAAGTGGAAGTAAAACTTCTTTGAAGGAAGACAGTCAATTTCAGTTTCATGTGAACATCAAAAAAGCTTTGTTAAGTCAGATTAAAGTCATATTTAGTCCAACATTTTGTCACCAAAATGACCAACTAGGTGCCTCTGTGAACTCTACTCACAGGATATGAGTGCAGCTGTATTTTACCTCTCTCCTTCTCCCTGACTGATATAAAGAAGCATGCTGCTTCTGAAAATGCATGTGATAACAGTATATAACCATCTTGACCAGTAGACGTTGCTGGTGTCATTGCTCCAAGTTGGTTAGTACAACTACATTATGTGCCTAATGGGAAGATTCAAGTTCTTTGTGTTTTACACAAGGTGGCAACTGCTGAGGGACCATGTTTGCAAACAGGTACTTGGGATTTTCCCAACCAACCCCTGGCTTTTCTTGCAGATCTACTGGCAGGGAGCGCAGAAGTGGCCATGTTGAATGGCAGATGCAAGAGGAGCTGGTGCGCAAGTTAGAGGATCAGGTAAGGACAACTTCACCTGTGGAAGAAGAAAGGAATACCAAGGAAAAAGCTGTGCAAGATGTTCTGATATCAGGTCCAAATAGTCTGATGGCAGTAACTAAAATGGCAAAGGCCATTTACCAGAAGGGGAGGGATTGAGGAATGGGAAGAGGGAAGGAAGGAGAAGGCCTGACCCAACAGAGGGGTGGGGGCTTGGCGAGGCAAGCCCCAGCAGCAGCTGGAGCCACCACAGCGACTCCATGAGGCCCACGTGGCTACCAGGCAACTCTTCCCCCAAGACTAGAGGATTGCAAGGCAAGCCTGACTGCAGGAGCGGCTGCACCCCCCCCCCCAACTGGGTGAAGGGAGGATGCGAACCATGAGAAGGCCAGTAACTCTCCCACTTGGGCTCCACATCCCCCCTTTCACCCCTCCCCAAAAAAAAACCCTTACAAACTGTCCTGGAGGAAGGAGGGGAAAGAAAGGGAAAGGAGAGAAGAAAGGAAGAAAAGGATTGGTGAAGAGAAGAGAAGATTATGAATGGAAGGAAAGGTAGAAGGAAAGAAAGAGTAAGGAAGGGAAAGGAGGCAGGGATGGGAGAGGAAAGGAAGGGAGAGAGGGGAAGAAAGAAAGAAAGAAAGAAAGAAAGAAAGAAAGAAAGAAAGAAAGAAAGAAAGAAAGGGAAACTGGTGAAGGGAAGAGAAGAATATAGAATCGGAGAGTCCTAGAGTTGGGAGACACCTGGTGGGCCATCCAGGCCAACCCCATTCTGTGAAGAAGCAGGAAAATCACATTCAAAGCACCCCCAACAGATGGCCACCCAGCCTCTGTTTCAAAGAGGCTTTTTTGAGTGTTTTGGCCAGCATGAATATAACTGAAAAGCCTTGCAGCTTCAGTGGCTGGTTTTCATTACTTTATTTTCCATACCACCTTGCACCTTAACAGCCTGGCTTCTACTAGCCAGCAGGAAACCTTTGGTGGGAGGAGTTCCCTAGCCCAGATTGCTTCATGTCTGCAAATCTTCTGTTTTCTGAGGGCCACAGCAACGCATGGCCAGGTACAGCTAGTATCAGTATAAAAAGGGATGTTGTGATAACTTTGAGACTGAGAGAAGAGACTGTAGCATCAGCTTTCATAGACTTGAGTCTACTAACCATCTGAGGTGAAATCTTATGTTCCAACTTCTTTCTCTTAGTCTCAAAGGTGTTTTGCAACATGGTGGTACATTTAGATCAAGCATAAGGAACTTCAGAGTCTCGGGCCCAAACCTGATCCCTGGGTCTGACCAGAAAATCACATTCTCTTTCACCATAACAGCCTCATTTGGCAATTTCTTCCCAGCCTTTGAACAGGGGAGGTTTCTCTATCCTTAAAATGTTCCTTCTAAAGCTTAGTTTTTGGTGATAAGAACTCTAACATACGCTGGCATTTTTGGCAACACATCAGTGGAAAGCAACCCTTGAGAATTCCCCTGAAATTAAATTTCTCCATGGAGAAGAAAGAGGTTCCATAACCTAGATTTTAGAACCTGTATGTGTATTCTTCTGTCTTCATCTCCATGATCTAGCTGGCACAAGAGAAGCAGAGACTGAGTGTTATGCGAGCCGAACTGGCATCCAGTTCCCACTCGCAGCATCTGTGTGCACCAGGAGTAATTCTTCCGCATCAAAGCAAAGACCCAAGGAGTGAGATTTACTTTTCTAATCACCATGAAAACCACAATAGTGCAGGTAAGTGATTCACTAAATAAGGATAGAAAAAATAACAAATGGAATGCTTGTGAGAATGCAACAAATACATAGAGGGATCTTCAATAGGGATAATATTTACTACTAAATTCATTTGCAAATAAGGAGCCCCCAGTGGCACAGTGGGTTAAACCCCTGTGCTGGCAGGACTGAAGACTGAATTTGGGGAGAGCGCGGATGAGCTCCCTCTATCAGCTCCAGCTCCTCATGTGGGGACATGAGAGAAGCCTCCCACAAGGATGATAAAAACATCAAAACATCCGGGCATCCCCTGGGCAACGTCCTTGCAGACGGCCAATTGTCTCACACCAGAAGCGACTTGCAGTTTCTCAAGTCGTTCCTGACACGACAAAAAAAATGGAAATAAACAGTTGTAACAATTGACTCTGGCTTAATGTTATACTGACTGAAAAGTACATGAAATCTAAGCCTGCTGTTATGTAGTTGGGATTCTTAGATGCGGAAGACTGTCCTTGAACATGTGCAGATCTCTTTCACGCACTTCACCGGAGTCAACTTCATATCTCTACTGGGAAGGGATCTCACTTGAGGCTGAAGCTAATTCACTGAGCCCCCAGGCAAGACATGGGACAGCCGAGCTCAAATGAAGAAAAACCGCACTTACTGACACCTCCATTCTCTTTTTCCTCATCCCAGAAAGGAACTCCAGCATGGTATATTACAGATGCACTACTGCTCGCCCACCTTTCACATATGCTGCCCTCATTGGTTGGGTAAGTTCTTGCAAAAAAGGGAATAGCAAACTCCAGACCAATAGCACGCACAACTATATTTGCATCATTTTACTGCATTATTCATTTTCCACTTATTTATCTATTATTTATTTCATTTCATATATTTATATCTTGCCCTTCTCCCCACAAGGGGGACTCAGCGCGGCCTCACATGAGCATCAGAGAATGCTAACAGCATAAATACCATAAAAATACAATTCACAATAAATCATTTTAAAACATTGTACAACATCATCAGTAAAATTTAACAATAAATTAATAGATTAACGTGCCAGTAAAACCAAGCCGAGCTGGTAGAATCCATATTGCAAAATCCAAATTTCCTTTTCCTACTGCCGCTGGCCTCTAATCGAACATGTGGCCCCAGAACCAGTTCTTCAGTTGTCTTCTAAAGGACAGGAGGGAGGTGGCCAACCCGATATCCTTAGGGAGAGAGTTCCGCAGACAGGTGCCCGCTGCCAAGAAGGCCCTGTCTCTCGTCCCCATCAACCGCGTTTGCGAGAGTTGTGGGATTGTGAGCAGGGCCTCTCTGATGATCTTAAGCTTCATGGTGGTTGATAGCAAGAGATACATTTGGACAAGTAATCTGGGCCAGAACCATTCAGGACTTTAAAGGACTTATGGCTGAATTCCATTAGGAAAAGGCACTGCTATCTCTCTCTTCTTAGTTACAGTACAGTCCCATGCTCAGAGACCTCTTACTTTGAGGCTTTCATGAGGTCACCTTATAACTGGGTCTGTAACCTATAGTTGATAGTCTTCTTATGTTCACTGCCTGTTGTTAGAGTGATTCCAGACATAATTATAGTGTTGATAGTCTATGGGACTGTGCTACAAAGCAGGCAGTGCAGGCCTACCTCCGTCAGCTCAAGTAAGGGGTCTCATAACTTAACTAGTACATGGCCTCATTTATCCTAAATCCGGCAGTATAGAGAGCAGGCAAATGCAAGAAGGGCAAGCAAAATGATCCTTTGAAGAAAGTCTGACTTGGCCAGCGTGGTCCATGCCTTGGTTACATCCAGATTGGACTATTGCAATGCGCTCTACATGGGGCTGCCCTTGAAGACAGCCCGGAAGCTCCAACTGGTACAACAGGCAGCAGCCAGGCTCCTTACTGGAGCAAACTATAGGGAGAATACAACACCCCTTTTAAAACAGCTTCACTGGCTGCCGATAAGTTGCCAAGCCAAATTCAAGGTGCAGGTTATGACCTATAAAGCCCTAAACGGTTCGGGCCCCACCTATCTTCACGATCGCATCTCCCTCTATGAACAAGCGTGAACTTTAAGATCTCTCGGGGAGGCCCTCCTTTCCACCGTCACAAGCACGGTTGGTGGGGACGAGAAAGAGGGCCTTCTCGGTGGTGACCCCTCGCCTCTGGAACGCCCTTCCTAGAGATATTAGACAGGCCCCATCCCGCCCCTCCTTTCGTAAGAGCCTGAAGACCTCGTGGTTTAAATAAACCTTTGAGAACGACTAGTTCTAGCTCTGCCCCAGATACTGTTGAAATTGGCCATATCTTCTACCAATTACCCAGGTCCCTTTCTTCTATTAGGCCCTGGAAATGTACAGCCATATTCTACCTAATTTCCCGGGCCCTCTACAATCGCAGTAGCCCAGCCCGGCCTTTTAAATTGCCTTGATCAGGCATGATTATTTTAAATATATGTGCTATTGTGCTTTTAATGCTTATATTGTCTTGTTAATTTTATGTTTATGCTGTTTTTTTCTTGTATGTATTGTTTATGTTACTTGGAAACCGCTCTGAGTCCCCTTGGGGAGATAGAGCGGTATATAAATAAAGTTTTGTTTGTTTGATACCTGAGAAGTTATAGAATAAGTCACATCTGTAGATCCCCTAGCAGTGCAACATTGCTGGGGCACAGCTCTTCAACCATAGGCATATACTGAATTGTTCTGAATTACGAGGGGTATTTTTTTAAGTAAGGTCCATTAGAACATAAGTACACAACGAAAGTTTATTTCAAAAAAGTAAATTTATTTTCAGAAAGTACATACTTCACTCCATTTTTCGACATAGTTGCCAAGTTTGTTCAAACACTTATCATACCTCTGAACCAATTTTAAAATACCCTCTTCATAAAAACTTGCCGCCTGCTCCGATAACCAAGTGTTCACTGTAATCAAAGAAGGGCGACCAGAGCGGTCCTCATCATGGACGTTGTCACGGCCATCTTTGAATTGTCGTACCCACTTACGCACTTTGCTTTCACTCATAACAGTATCACCGTACACTTCACAAATCTGTCGATGAATTTCTGCAGCAGGCAGGTTCCTTGCTGACAAAAACCGTATCACTGAGCGAACCTCACATACGGAGGGTGAGTTGATAGTCTTAAACATTTTTAAAGCACAGAACAGAACCGTACAGGTTAGCTACAGAGCGGAAACTGAGCACAGTTGTTCCCGAGGCATGCCGGTAAACGACGCACGCGCTCGTTGCGGTATGCGCGCTAACTACTAGTGTCTATAACAAAACAGACCTTACTTAAAAAATACCCGTATTTAGGTAACACTGTAATATATCATAGAATAGAAACATAGAATCAAAGAGTTGGAAGAGACCTCATGGGCCATCCAGTCCAACCCCCTGCCAAGAAGCAGGAATATTGCATTCAAATCACCCCTGACAGATGGCCATCTAGCCCCTGTTTAAAAGCTTCCAAAGAAGGAGCCTCCACCACACTCCGGGGCAGAGAGTTCCACTGCTGAACGGCTCTCACAGTCAGGAAGTTCTTCCTCATGTTCAGATGGAATCTCCTCTCTTGTAGTTTGAAGCCATTGTTCCGTGTCCTAGTCTCCAAGGAAGCAGAAAACAAGCTTGCTCCCTCTTCCCTGTGCTTCCTCTCACATATTTATACATGGCTATCATATCTCCTCTCAGCCTTCTCTTCTTCAGGCTAAACATGCCCAGCTCCTTAAGCCGCTCCTCATAGGGCTTGTTCTCCAGACCCTTGATCATTTTAGTCGCCCTCCTCTGAACACATTCCAGCTTGTCAATATCTCTCTTGAATTGTGGTGCCCAGAATTGAACACAATATTCCAGGTGTGGTCTAACCTGGAATATCCTGGTGCCTCCTTCTCAATCTGTGTAGGATGACTGCTAGAGGGGGGAAAAAAACTTTGGGAATTGGCCCTTGCAGCCAGCCTGTATTAACAAGTGATATTGAAGTGGGCATAGAGGTTCTTCCAAAGTGTGTCCTACCAGTGTTATCTCCTCTTCAACACTATTATTGTATGTTTATGATATTCAGGCCATCCTAGAATCCCCCAAGAAACAGCTCAGCCTGAATGAGATTTATCGCTGGTTCAACAACAACTTTGGCTACTTCAGGCATAACATCCCAACCTGGAAGGTAAGAGCGTTTTGTATGGAGGAGGGGAATGGGGAATGATGGGAGGAGGGAAAGTCATCTTAAAGCAGGAGAGACAGAGTTTTTTTTTTGTCGTGTCAGGAGCGACTTGAGAAACTGCAAGTCGCTTCTGGTGTGAGAGAATTGGCTGTCTGCAAGGACACTGCCCAGGGGACGCCTGGATGAATTGATGTTTTTATCATCCTTGTGGGAGGCTTCTCTCATGTCCCCGCATTAGGAGCTGGAGTTGATAGAGGGAGCTCATCCGCCTCTCCCCGGATTCGAACCTGCGACTTGTCGGTCTTCAGTCCTGCCGGCACAGGGGTTTAACCCACTGCGCCACCGGGGGCTCCTGAGACAGAGATAATAATAGTAGAGACAAGGCATTGGGGAGGAAGGATAGCTCTTGCTGAATGGAAAGTCTTTGCCTGAAATTGGGAGCCTGGATCCTTCAGTTCAGCCGTTAAACAGAGCCCTATATATTTTACATACATGGAAACACAACTTTTTAAACACCAAAGTGGAGAAGCAAGATTGGGAGTGAGATATGATAGAGCAATATCATGGAAAGTGTGGGAAATAATAATAATAATCTTTATTGATATCCTGCCCCCTCTCCCCGAAGGGATTGGTGGAGAGTTACACACGTGTAAAGGTGAATATTCATAAGTGTTTAGATTTTCTTTAGCTCAAGAGACCATTTGAAATGTCAACAATTCAGTGTTGACAAAGCAGACGGTCCTTTGCTAGACGAGCATACCTATGAGAATTTTTTCTCCTGGTCTGAAGAGCTACTAACAGAGTAGATCTTACTGTACTAAGCTGACAAATACAAAGCAAGCCTTTTATATTCTGCTTCCTGGAACACAGGTAGTGGTCACTAAGCATGCTCCTATTTGTATCTACAGCAAATCTGTATGCTTATAAGTTTAGACCTTGGGGAAAGAAGTTAAGGGGCAAGGGAGACATTTCAGAAGATGATATAAGGGGACTGAAGACCAAAACTTGTTCAGAACAGGAAGAAGGAAGGAGACATAGGTATGACAAGTAGACTTAAGGCTCAAGTCTGAGCCAGGCTGGATGTGTGTTTTAAGGAACTTCACTCATAAAAACACTGAAAAACACAGCAGAAGAGATGTAAAAAGCCCCCAAAAGCTAAATGATGAAAAGATAGATGACAATACAGAAAAAAGGGAAGAAAGAGGGAGGGAAAGGGAGAAAAGAAAGAATGAATGAAAGAAAGAAAAGAAAGATGGAGGGAAAGAAAGAAGGAAAGGAAGAAGGAAGCATGGAAGCGAAGAGAGAAGGAAGGAAAGAGCTAGCAAAGGAAGAAAGAAAGGAGAGAAAGAGGGAGGAAAAGAAAAAGGGGGAAGGAAGGAAAGTTAGAGAAGGAAGGAAGGAGAGAAGGAAAGAAAAAGGGAAAGAAGGAAGGAAAGTGGGAGTGAAGGAAGGGGGGAAGATGTAGAGAAAGAGGGAAGGAAGGAAAGAGAGAAGGAAGAAAAGAGAGACAGCAGAAGAGAAAGAAAAAGGGGGGAGGAAGGAAAGAGATAGAGAAGGAAGGAAGAAGAGAAGGAAAGACAGGAAGGAAGTAAGGAAAGAGGGAGTGAAGGAAGGAGGGAAAGAAGGAGAGAAAGAGGGAAGGTTGGCCACAGCAAAACATGGCGGGTATAGCTAGTAATATAATAATAATAAAACTTTATTTCTACCCTGCCACCATCTCCCCAAGGGACTTGGAGCGGCTTACATGAGGCCAAGCCCAATAACACATCAATAAAACAAAGCAATAAACAAAAACAATAAATACAATACAATTGATATAAATCAGATATAAACAATAACCAATAAACAATACACACAAGGATTTAAAAACCTATGTAATAATGTAAAATTTAAAAATTAAACGCTGGGCATGAACAAGATAGGATAAGTCTGGTATAGGGTTTTAAAAGAAATGAGGGAGCACAGTCAACCTAAACCAATAGTAAAGTGCATTCTGAGGACATATTGCTGGGAATTTTTCCTTATTCTGGGAAGGCACACTGGAACAGCCACGTTTTCAAGCTCCTCCTAAAGACTGCCTATGTTGGGGCATGCCTGATGTCCTTGGGAAGGGAGTTCCAAAGTCAGGGGGCCATCACTGAGAAGGCCCTCTCCCTCGTCCCCACCAATCGCGCCTGCGAAGGAGGCGGGAGCGCGAGCAGGGCCTCTCCAGATGATCGAAGAGATCGTGTGGGTTCGTACACAGAAATGCGGTCACACAGGTAGGTGGGTCCCAAACCGTTCAGGGCTTTATGAGTAAGAACCTGCACCTTGAATTGGGACTGGAAAATGAACGGCAGGCAATAGAGCTCCTTAAACAGGGGGGTTGACCGCTCCCTGTAAGTTGCACCAGTTAGTAACCTGGCTGCTGGCCATTGTACCAATTGGAATTTCCGGGCCGTCTTCAAGGGCAGCCCCACGTAGAGTGCATTACAGTAATCCAATCTGGAGGTGACTAAGGCATGGACGACCCTCATGGTGGTTTACAGAACGGCACAATTCGATGCCCATAATAATATAAAAATAGATAAAAAATTTAAACATAGATAAAAATTCACTACATAACATCAATAAAAACATCATAAAACAACAAATCCTCCGCATTTCATTACCAAATCATTATCCAGTCGCGTTGTCCAGCCATTCCGAGATCAGAGTTTATCTGCTACACTGCATTTGGGAAAGCCTGTTCAAATAGCCAGGTTTTAACTCTTTTATGACACGTTAAGAGGGTGGAGGCTGATCTAATGTCCCTGGGGAGGGCATTCCACAGCTGAGGGGCCACCGCTGAGAAGGCCCTGTCTCTTGCCCCTGCTAGCCGACCCTGTGAAGATGGCAGGACCGAAAGCAGGGCCTCCCCAGATGATCTTCTACAGCCTGGAAAACTCACTCCCCAGAAGATCTTAAAATCCAAGATGGTTCGTAAGGAGAGATACATTTGGACCCGATAGGCAGGGCCAGAACCATTTAGGGCAGTGGCTGTCAACCTGGGGTCCCCAGATGTTTTTGGCCTACAACTCCCAGAAATCCCAGCCAGTTAACTAGCTGTTAAGATTTCTGGGAGTTGAAGGCCAAAAACATCTGGGAACCCCAGGCTGAGAAGCACTGGTTTAGGGCTTTATAGGCTAAATCCAGCACTTTGAATTGTGCTCAGATGGAAAAAGTAATCTTTTCCAAGCTGTGATACAGGGGGAGGCAGTCATACCAATAGTCCTCTTTCTCATATTCTCCTTAACCCACAGAATGCCATTCGACACAACCTTAGCTTGCACAAATGCTTTGTGCGTGTGGAGAACATGAAGGGAGCCGTGTGGACAGTGGATGAGTTTGAGTATCAGAAGAGAAGGAGCCAGCGCTGTTCCACTTACCCACATCCATTTCTGGGGAGCCATGGAGCAGCACTGCTTTTTGGACAGCCGTGGGAGAGGACAGCCCAGTTGAGAACAGAAAGGAGCAACCATTACAGGCCAGAGCACACCATCCCCTCTTCTTTTTCCGCAGGGACTGTGAGCTAAATAGCTGAAACTCTTGAAGCAGAGTTCAGAGGGTTTGTAAGGGTCTATGTGCTTAATGTATTGTCAAAGGCTTTCATGGCCGGAATCACTGGGTTGTTGTAGGTTTTTTTCGGGCTATATGGCCATGTTCTAGAGGCATTCTCTCCTGACGTTTCGCCTGCATCTATGGCAAGCATCCTCAGAGGTTGTGAGGTCTGTTGGAAGTAGGAAAAAGGGTTTATATATCTGTGGAATGACCAGGGTGAGACAAAGGACTCTTGTCTGCTGGAGCTAGGTGTGAATGTTTCAACTGACCACCTTGATTAGCATATAATGGCCTGGCAGTGCCTAGAGTAAACTTTTGTTGAGAGGTGATTAGAGGAAGAAACCATGAAAATGAACAAAATCTGGCTACCAGTATTAAAAAACTCTAAAATTACAACAGCACAACAACAGAGAGGAAACTAACAAGGACATCTAATCACCTCTCAACAAAAGCTTGCTCTAGGCACTGTCAGGCCATCAAATGCTAATCAAGGTGGTCCGTTGAAACATTCACACCTAGCTCCAGCAGACAAGAGTCCTTTGTCCCACCCTGGTCATTCCACAGATATATAAACCCCTTTTCCTAGTTCCAACATATCTCACTACCTCTGAGGATGCTTGCCATAGAAGCAGGTGAAACATCAGGAGAGAATGCCTCTAGAACATGGTCATATAGCCCGAAAAAACCTATAACAACCCAGTCTATGTGTTTGTTTTCAGATGGCTCGCCAATATTACAAAGAAGCTGTAGCAGTGCTGAACTCATCACAAACATAAAACTAGAGCTTGAAAGTACGAGGGGTATTTTTTAAGTAAGGTCCGTTTTGTTGTAGACACTAGTGGTTCGCGTGCATACCGCAAAAAGCGCGTGCGTCGTGTACCGGCATGCCTCGGGAACAACTGTGCTCAGTTTTCGCTCTGTAGCTAACCTGTACGGTTCTGTTCTGTGCTTTAAAAATGTTTAAGACTATCAACTCACTTGCCGCATGTGAGGTTCGCTCAGTGATACGGTTTTTGTCAGCAAGGAACCTGCCTGCTGCAGAAATTCATTGACAGATTTGTGAAATGTACGGTGATATGAGTGAAAGTGGGTACGACAATTCAAAGATGGCCGTGACAACATCCATGATGAGGTCACCCTTCTTTGATTACAGACGATTAGGTGGCTTCAGTTGAAGTGAGGATTTATGAAGGGGGTATTTTAAAATTGGTTCAGAGGTATGTTTGAACAAACTTGGCAACTATGTCGAAAAATAGAGTGAAGTATATACTTTCTGAAAATAAATTTACTTTTTTGAAATAAACTTTCGTTGTGTATTTAAGTTCGAACGGACCTTACTTAAAAAATACCCCTCGTATTACCCCTTTGGACAATACCTCTCTGAATTCCCTACGGAGTAAGGTCGCTATCCATGCTAACTGGGAAATGCTGGGAATTGTCCTCCCCCAAAGCCAACTTTTCCGAGCTCAGCACACAACCTGCCGTGCCTGCTTCGGAAACAGAAGTACTGGAAGGATATCAAAATTTGGAGAAAGGGGATTTGGAAACCAAGATAGCCTGAAACTGTTCATCTACTTCGGATTTATGTTATTCCATTGCCAATTAGCTCTAATAGTATGCAAAAATAAAAACAAAAACTCAGGAACAAGAAAAGAAAAGTGATTTTATTGTTGAATCCCAAGGAGAGGAAAAGAAACTGGGAGTTTGCTTGAAATGTTAGTGGAGGAAGCAGCACCTTGTGCCCTGGCGTCTGCTTCTCCAATATACAATCTGTTTCGTAAGAATAGCACAAGGGATCCACTCCCCCCCCCCCCCCAAAATGTGCCACACTTTGGCTCAGTTTTAGGCAACTCACAATGCCCAGAGTGCCCAGAGGAAGGAACACAGTACTCTTCCCCCATGCTCTTTCTTGTTAAGAGGCACAGCAGAGTGGGGGTGAAGGGAGAGAGAGAGGCCAGGCCCCCAGAAGCACCATGTGGCTGCACATTGGGACACAGATCTTCACGTCTCATGGGATCGGCTGAGCAGTATTGCGTTCTCCTGTTTCACGGCCTGGTAATCGCCCAGGATCCTCTCATAATTGCTCAATGTTTTCTTGCTTGTTTCACTCTCAATCTGGAAAGGACAGAAAGACAACAGAGTTGTATTGCCGAAGGCTTTCAATCATTGGGTTGTAGGTTTTTTCGGGCTATATGGCCATGTTCTAGAGGCATTCTCTCCTGACGTTTCACCTGCCGCTGAGGATGCTTGCCATAGATGCAGGTGAAACATCAGGAGAGAATGCCTCTAGAACATGGCCATATAGCCCGAAAAAACCTACAAGAGGAAAAATATAGTAAAGCAGAAGAGGCAGGATTTTTTCTTTTACAGAGCAGATTCCTAGAATTTGCAAAAAGAATCTGATTTTTATTGTCATCTGCATGATTGATAGCACTACCCACAGATTTAAGAACCACAATAATTCCTTGTGCCCCATCCTTTGAGGTGAGTCTGACCTGCTCCTCGAGGTCTCGGATTTCCCGTAGGATGGTCCCTGTGTCCTCAATCGTCTGGATCAGCTGGCTGCAATTCTATGAGAGAGAAAAGAAGTAGCATCGACCGAGAGGCTTGTAAGTGGGGAAGGTGTGCATGGTAGTGGGGCTGGTTGACGTCATTATAATTAGTCCTTCACATTTGCGGGCTTATTTTATTTATATGCCACTTTTCACTCTGACTCAAGGTGGCTTCAACAAACAAGTTGAAAAAATTACCATATAATCTAAAAGCAAAATCATATAATACATTTTAAAATAAATTAAAAACATACAAATATTGATATCTATATAAATAAAAATGTAATGTTCGTTTGTGGGATTAACAGAACTCCAAAACCACTGGACGAATTGACACCAAATTTGGACACAAGACACCCAACAACCCAATGTATGTCCTTCACACAAAAAATTGATTTTGTCATTTGGGAGTTGTAGTTGCTGGGATTTATAGTTCACCTACAATCAAAGAATATTCTGAACCCCACCAACGATAGAATTGGGCCAAAACTCCCACACAGAACCCCCATGTGGGCCACAGCAACGCATGGCAGGGGACGGCTAGTCTATATAAATAAAAATGTAATGTTTGTTTGTGGGATTAACAGAACTTAAAAACCATTGGACAGTCCAACGAGTGTCCATCACCCATAAACACACGCGCACACACAAAACTCCAGCGGAACAGACTTAAAACCCCAAAAAATACATCATATACACATACACTCATATACATATGCACATATTCATATACACACACATATACATAAACACACACAAATATACACATATGCATACATACATATATACATATACACATGCACACACATATACATATACACATACATACACAAATATGCATCTAGACAAGCACACACATATACACAATATACATTTACACAAATACATACACATATATACACACGCAAAACACAGACTGGGCCACAGCAACGCATGGCAGGGGACGGCTAGTATATATATAAAGCATGCCCCATAACAAAGCCACCCCAACTTGTACTTTAAAAGGTTGTCTAAATAAAAAAGGCCTTGTCTTTACCCACTGTTGAAAAGGACAGAAGGGAAGGGGCCAGCTTAACCTCCAGCAGAAGAGAATTTCAGAAGGTGGGAGCAGCCACTGAAAAGGCCCTTTGTCACGTCCTCTCTAGGTCCTTCAATGTGACATTGTAGTCAACTTTTGTTGGAAGTTGACTACAGAGTCATGCTGGAGGGCCTAGAAATTCTCAGAGAGGTGTACCCTCAGGTCAGGCCCATAGCCAGGATTTTGATTCGGGGGTGGGGTGGGCTGAGTCTGAGTAAAAGAGGGTTTACCCTAGCAAACCTTTTGTATCATTACCCCAATACCCCTATGCATATGGGATATATTGAGCATGGTGATCAGATCATGATATGAATAAACGTAACAGTTTAAATAATGTACCAGTAAGGCCTTCTTGCGGACCACCATGAGAATTTTGGGGGGAGGAAGCCCCTCAAGCCCCCCCCCCCCCACCCCACCAAGCTACATGCCTGCCTCAGGTATAAAATTCTGGTTTTTCATTATGTCTCTAACCCCAGAGGGCTGACTGTATTGCTTTAGGAAGCCTCTCACCTCATGTAAGGCTGCTAAATACTTATATGCCTTCCGCACAGCCTCATCGCGTTTGGCATCCTGCAGAAAGTAATGAGGAAAAGACACACAGGGAAAGTTAAGGACTAAAAGGCCAACTAATGCGAATCTCCAGGACCCCTTTAATCTCATTAAGTTTGGTTTTCAGACTTCACACCTTGAAGATCAGCTCATCAGTGACAGCAAAGGTCCTGTCGAGCTTCCCGGTGAGGCTGTTAATCTCCTTCTGGAGCTCCTTGGTATCAGATAGGATCTGGCAAAGCAAAGAAAACAAAGTTCTAGGAATGGAGATGAGCAAATCGCTTCAATGAAAGATACCTTTGAAACAAACTTCCTAATAACAAAAGCAGCTGTAAAACATCCAATGACCAGCCTTCCAGGTTTTGGACAAGTATTTGGTGGTCAGCATGGCCAGGCACTTTGCCCACAAGATAGTTGGGTATCTTCACTTGGTGATAAACACTGCTTAGTGCCACCCTCTTTGTGATGCCTTGGTGACCAGACATTTGCATAAGCATAAAAGAATCCAAAGCCCCTGGAGACTGAGGGTCCACTGTCCTCTTACAGGTATTTTTGAGATAACCATCATTTGTCACTCATACCTCTTGGACAGATGAGTTCCAATGGCCCCCTTCACAGTTTCCAATTATTATTTATTTATTTATTTAAAACTTTTATATCCCGATCTTTTCACCTCCGTAGAGGGACTCAGACCGGCTGACAGCAAGGATTCAATGCTACTAATACAAGTTAAAACATCATACAACAATACAAGATTAAATACATATAGATAAAATACATATATACCAAATTGCCAAGGTAAAATCATGTTCAACTCAGTCTGCATATGTGGTCACTCACTTTGGTCTGTGAGTATATATGGCCAGTAACCTAGCCATCACTTTAACAGTATGATTCCTGTATCCTCATGGCATATATTCCTGAACTTATGATGGAAATAGGAAGCTGTGGATAATAGCAATCCTTTTGAACTGAAAGATTTCCACCGGGCATTAGCACGGATTCATCCAGGAGGCCACAGAAAATTCATAGAGATGTATCCTCTTTATTTATTTATTTAAAACATTTATATTCCGCCCTTCTCGCCCCGAAGGGGACTCAGAGCGGAGCTCAGCATATACATGGCAAACATTCAATGCCTGGATACAATACATAAACATTAAAAAACATTTATCAAAATATTAAAATACACCATTTAAAATACCATTTTAAACCGTCTTTAGCCATCCTCATCAAATCCAATTGGCCCTGTCATCTTTCCCATTGCCGCTTCATTACCCTGTCCCGAAAGCTTGGTCCCACAGTCAAGTTTTTACCATCCTTCTAAAGGATAGGAGGGAGGGGGCCGACCGGATCTCACCAGGAAGGGAGTTCCATAGCCGTGGAACAATCACCGAGAAGGCCCTGTCTCTCGTCCCCACCAATCGCGCCTGTGACAGTGGCGGGATGGAAAGCAGGGCCTCCCCGGAGGATCTTAATCTCCATGATGGTTCATAGGGGGAGATGCGTTCAGACAGGTAATTCGGGCCAGGGACGTTTAGGGCTTTATAGGCCAAAGCCAGCACTTTGAATTGTGCCTGGTACCAATTGTGCCCTTTAGAAATATCCTGGATAGAGAGAGCACTAAAAGAGTCATGTCCACCCCACACACAATCTTTCAAGAAAGAACTGCTCGGGTGTCTTGGGTTTCCTACCTTTGTGATCTCCTCCTTCTGCTTCCGAATGTTACTGACAATCTCCAAGATGCGCTGGGTGTAGGCAGAGCGGGAAACATCCTTGGGAAGTGATTCCATCTCCACAAGCTACAGACAGAATGAAAATCAGAATGGGATTGGTCAAAATAAAGAAACAGGCAAAAATGTTAGGACTTCTTCAGAAGACACAGGATTTAGTTCTAGCTCACTGTGTACATTAAAACTCAGAAGCTTATTCCTCACCTGGGTACTAAATTTCCATCTAGGGCAGTGCTTTTCAACCTGGGGATCGGGACCCCTGGGGGGTCATGAGTGGGTTTCAGAAGGGTTGGCAAAGACCATCAGAAAACACAGTATTTTCTCTTGGTCATGGGGGTTCTGTGTGGGAAGTTTAGCCCAATTCTATCGTTGGTAGGGTTCAGAATGCTCTTTGATTGTAGGTGAACTATAAATCCTAGCAACTATTTATTTATTTATTTATTTATTTACAGTATTTATATTCCGTCCTTCTCACCCCACAGGGGACTCAGGGCAGATTACAATGTATACATACATGGCAAGCATTCAATGCCATAGACACACAACACATATAGACAGAATGTCAGAGGCTATTTAACATTTCAACTTTTTCTGGCCACCAGGGGAGCTGTCGCTTCACCGTCCATCTGTGACACTGATGAAATACTTCCTCATTCCCTGCATGCATGTTGGAGATTTTTTATGGCCTCATAAATTAGTTAAATTAGCCTCCCACATAAGTGGTACCTAAATTTCCTACTTGACAGATGCAACTGTATTTTAGGTTGCAAAGGTCAACAACAAGCTACACAATTTTGGTCGGGAGCTCACTCCGACCCCAAATGTCAAGGTCTATTTCCCCCAAACTCCACCAGTGTTCACATTTTGGTATGTTGAGTATTTGTGCCAAGTTTGGTCCAGATCCATCATTGTTTGAGTCCACAGTGCTTTCTGGATGTAGATGAACTACAACTCCAAAACTCAAGGTCAATGCCCACCAAGCTCTTCCATTATTTTCTGTTGGTCACGGGAACTCTGTGTGCCAAGTTTGGTTCAATTTCATCACTGGTGGAGTTCAGAATGCTCTTTGATTGTAGGTGAACTATAAATCCCAGCAACTACAACTCCCAACTGACAAAATCAATCCTTCCCCCAACCCCACCAGTATTCAAATTTGGGCGTATCAGGTATTTGTGCCCAATTTGTTCCAATGAATGAAATCCAGCATATCAGATATTTACATTACGATTCATAACAATAGGAAAATTACAGTTATGGAGTAGAAAGGAAAATAATTTATGGTTGGGGGTCACCACAATATGAGAAACTGTGTTAAGAGGTTGCGGCATTAGAAAGGTTGAGAAACACTGATCTAGGCCATAACATTTCAGACAGGTTACTTGAATAGTCTTCCAGTAACACATGAAAATCCCTGCACAGAGATTTCTTTTTAAAAGAAGGAACATTCCATGAAAGTGCATAAGCTAGATGGAGGCAGGCCATGATTTTGGACAATTTTATGTATAAATTAAAGCCAAGATGTAATTACTCATGAAAATAGGACTGAGCTTGACAAACACCATATTTCCCATTTCCTTTTATCCAAGTTTTATTCTATTATCAAGGAAAGTTAGCTTGCCGTTAACATTTGAATCTGTATACTTATAATAACTGTGTTGAAGTGGGAGCATTTATCTAATATCTAATCCAAGCCATGCTAGCTAGTATATCCTCATTAGAAAGAGTAAACAAATATTAAAATGGAGAATGAAGAATTCTGATAGCCCTCTATAGAACGATAATCAGAGATCATGGGACATGGTAACCATTTTGTGTATGCTGAACTGTGCCTTGCATGCATGGGCACCCAACACAAATCACCAACCAGCTGCTTGTAGACATCATCCTTGCGTTTAGCTTCCTCAGCAGCTGACCGGATCCGTTCGTGCAGCTCCCTGATCTCAGAAAGGCGCCGGGAGGATTCCAGCTGCAAAGAGAAGCAAAGAACAGAAGGGATCAAGCCTGTCCCATCTGGAAGAGGACATCTCATCGAACTTTTACTCATTGTCACCTCTTTGGAATCATGGAGAGCCTTGAGGTCCCGAAATTCCTGGATCAGAGGCACCCGGTGCTTCTCCCATTGGGCAGCCAGCTGGATGACTCGTTGGGCACTGCTCTCAACTACCACCTGAAAGGGATAGAGAGACACTCAGACCCAAACCCCTGTATTCTGCCCCCACTTGCAGGGCTTTTTTTCTACATAAGTATTCCACTTTCTGTCAATGTAGTCTAGAAAAGAGAAGAAGAGACTATCCTGTACACCTGTAGGACATCTCCAATCTTCTGGATCATACTGAAGTCAGAACTTGGAACTGGAAACATATTATTATCAGGTAGGTAAAGGCTTTCCCCTGACATATTTTCGAACAGAAGCTGGGGCTAACAGCGGGAGCTCATGCCACTCCTCTGATTCGAACCGGTGACCTTTTGGTCAGCAAATTTGTAAACAAACAGGGAGTTTTCTGTCAGAAACAAACAGAGTTTTCTGTCGCTCCTCTTCATCGTGGGAGTACGACAAGTTTTGTTTTTTTAAAAAACAACAGAAACCTGCGAACGCAAGGCACCAATTTTATATCATGCAATAGTTGCAGCCCCCCTTTTCCAACAAAAAGGGATAAATCATGTAACCATTATGCAATGAAATATAAAAGGTAAAGGTAGTCCCCTGACATTAAGTCCAGTCATGTCTGAATCTGGGGTGTGGTGCTCATCTCCATTTCTAAGCCGAAGAGCCAGCACTGTCCGTAGACACCTCCAAGGTCATGTGGCCGGCATGACTGCATGGAGCGCTGTTTACCTTCCTGCCGGAGCGGTACCTATTGATCTACTCACATTTGCATGTTTTCGAACTGCTAGGTTGGCAGAAGCTAGGGCTGACAGCGGAAGCTCACGCCGCTCCCCGGAATCGAACCTGCGACCTTTCGATCAACAAGCTCAGCAGCTTAGTGCTTTAACCCACTGCGCCACCGGGGGCTCCGCAATAAAATATAGTATGTCCTAAATGCCTGGTTACACCACTATGAATAGAAAGCAAGCCTTCCCTTTTCAAGCCCATTCCCTTTCCCAGTTCTTTCTCCCCTCTCTGTTTTACCTGCAGCTTAGCCATGTTGTTTTCTGCATCAGGGAGAAGCTCCACAGTCTGTCCCTTGACACGCAGGGTCTGCTCTCGCTCTGTCACTCCTAACTGATGCTGCCGCACTTCCCCTTCCACCTGATAAAGAAATTGATAGAGATGGACCCATGCACAGATGCACAAACATATCCCCATTGGAATGAATGAAGAGGAAGATTAAATGACATTATCACTGGTTAACTTGTCAACACCATCTCTTAGGAAAAAGTATCCTGCATAAGCTGCACTGATATCAAAAGGAGGTCCCAAAGAACACGATTGTGTTCTTGCATAGTCCCGGTTAGTTTCAAAAGGAACTTCCTTGAGAACCTCTGATGGGTTGTGTCCCTTGGGCCTATGTTGTCTGTCTGTCACCCTTAACAAGCCTCTTAAAATGACCTCACATGGGTTACCCAGAATCCTTCTGTCAGTCATTCTTCTCCCTAAAGTGCCATGCTGCTGCTTATGGCTGCCTCAAGTAAGGGCAGGGATAGCCAATACTCCAGAAGACAGGAGCAGAACTCAAAATGATATTAACAGATTAGATGGGCCAAAACTAACAAAATGAAGTTCAGCAGGGACACATGCAAGATACTCCACTTAGGCAGAAAAAACGAAATGCAAAGATACAGAATGGGGGACAATGCCTGGCTTGAGAGCAGTACGTATGAAAAAGATCTTGGAGTCCTCGTGGACAACAAGTTAAACATGAGCCAACAATGTGATGCGGTGGCAAAAAAAAGCCAATGGGATTTTGACCTGCATCAATAGGAGTATAGTGTCTAGATCAAGGGAAGTCATGCTACCCCTCTATTCTGCTTTGATTAGACCACACCTGGAATATTGTGTCCAATTCTGGGAACCACAATTCAAGAGAGATATTGACAAGCTGGAATGTGTCCAGAGGAGGGCGACTAAAATGATCAATTGTCTGGAGAACAAGCCCTATGAGGAGTGGCTTAAAGAGCTGGGCATGTTTAGCCTGAAGAAGAGAAGGCTGAGAGGAGACATCATTATTGTTGGATAACACTTTTAACTAGGAGACTCAAATTGATATATGTTTTTATTGATATTGATTGTTTTACTTGGTTTTATATTAAATTGATTGTTTTTAAATTGTATTGTATGTCTTTGATATTGACTGTAAACTGCTCCGAGTCGCCTGTGGGCTGAGAGGGGTAGTATATAAATGTAGTAAATAAATAAATAATCATAGCCATGTATAAATATGTGAGAGGAAGTCATAGGGAGTTGGGAGCAAACTTGTTTTCTGCTGCCCTGGAGACTAGGACGTGGAGCAATGGCTTCAAACCACAAGAAAGGAGATTTCCATCTGAACATTAGGAAGAACTTCCTGACTGTGAGAGCCGTTCAGCAGTGGAACTCTCTGTCTCGGAGTGTGGTGGAGGCTCCTTCTTTGGAGGCTTTTAAACAGGCGCTGGATGGCCATCTGTCAGGGGTGCTTTGAATGCAATTTTCCTGCTTTTTGGCAGGGGGGTTGGACTGGATGGCCTGTGAGGTCTCTTCCAACTCTATGATTCTATTCTGATGGTGAGACAAGGTATCAGTCAAGAGCCAGCATGGCATATTGGTTTGAGTGCTGGTCTAGGATTCTGGGAGAGCAGGGATCAAATCTTTCCACAATCATGGAGGGATTAAGGTGATTTTAGTCAAGTCACATTCTCTCTATCTCAGACCAAGGCAATGGCAACCCTCTTCTGAGTGAACCTTGCCACGAAAATCTGGCAATAATATGTTCCTGTGTGGGTTGCCATATGTAAAAAAAAGTCTTGAAGCCACACAAGAACAAAAATGGGACATAAATTACACTGTGTAACACAATTTTTGTTCCTGGGTTATGAATGTCATTTCCTAATTGGTTCAATCATATAAACATGAAAAAAGTGTATTAAAAAGTTTTTGCAGGACATCCTGTAGAATATTTTGCTATAGTTTTCAATAAATATCTTATAGAGTCGTGGCAGCCATCAAAACGAATTTTCTGGAACATAACATCTTTCAAATAAACATGAAATAACACTTTCAAATCAGGAACAGATTTTCCCCCCAAATTTTGTTACATAGTGTTATATACACAGGGACAATACAGACAAGGAGAAAGAGATTTCCCCTCTGAGGGGGCATGGTCATGCCGGATAGCAAGAGTACGCCATTCCCCGTTCTGTTCTCACCTGCGTCAAGGTCAGCCCCAGTGTCGACATCTGACCCTCAATCTCTGTGATCTGCCCCACGAGGTGGCCCAGTTCAGTCTCTAGGGCTTCCAGTTCTGCTGCCTGGTGTTCCCGTAACTCCTGAAAAAGGCGGAAGAGAAAGAGGAAATTAGGAGGAGAAACAGGCTTGTTTTCTGCTTCCCTAGAGACTAGGACACTGAACAATGGCTTCAAACTTCAGGAAAGGAGATTCCACCTGAACATTAAGAAGACCTTCCTAACTGTGAGAGCTGTTCAGTAGTGGAACTCTCTGTCCCAAAGTGTGGTGGAGACTCCTTCTTAGGAGGCTTTTAAACAGAGGCTGGATGGCCATCTGCCAGGGGTGCTTTGAATGCGATTTTCCTGCTTCTTGGCAGGGGGTTGGATTGGATGGCCTACAAAGTCTCTTCCAACTCTATGAGTCTATGATTTGGTTGGACAAATGTGGAATTAATAATTTGGATTGAACAATCACTACCAAAATGATTGTACTATATAGAGCAGGGGTCCTCAAACTAAGGCCCGGGGGCCGGATGCGGCCCTCCAAGGTCATTTACTCGGCCCTCGCTCAGGGTCAACTTAACTCTGAAACGACTTGAAGGCACACAACAACAACAACAAACCTATCTCATCAGCCAAAAGTAGGCCCACACTTCCCACTGAAATACTAATAAGTTTATATTTGTTAAAAGTGTTCTTCATTTTAATTATTGTATTTTAATGCACGACAAATAAGATATGTGCAGTGTGCATAGGAATTCATTCATGTTTTTTTTCAAATTATAATACGGCCCTCCAACAGTTTGAGGGACTGTGACCTGGCCCTCTGGTTAAAAAGTTTGAGGACCCCTGATATAAAGTATAGACCAGGGGTCCTCAAACTAAGGCTCGGGGGCCAGATATGGCCCTCCAAGGTCATTTACCCGGCCCTTGCTCAGGGTCAACCTAAGTCTGAAACAAATTCCAAAGAGGGAGCCTCCACCACCCTCCTCTTTGGCCTGGCATCTGGCAGGGACTCCTTCTATGGAGGCTTTGAAGCAGAGGCTGGATGGCCATCTGTTGGGGGTGCTTTGAATGCAATTCTCCTGCTTCTTGGCAGAAAGGGGTTGGACTGGATAGCCCACGAGGTCTAACAAACTCTAGGAATCTAGGATTCTATGACTTGAAAGCACACAACAACAACAACAACAACAATCCTATCTCATCATCCCAAAGCAGGTCCACACTTCCCATTGAAAGATGAATAAGTTTATATTTGTTAAAATTGTTCTTCATTTTAATTATTGTATTGTTTTTAAGTGTTTTTGCACTACAAATATGATATGTGCAGTGTGCATAGGAATTCAACCATGTTTTTTCAAATTATAATCCGGCCCTCCAACAGTTTGAGGGAGTGTGACCTGGCCCTCTGTTTAAACAGTTTGAGGACCCCTGGTATAGACTATATGCCAAATGGTACCTTCAGTAATGATTCCAAAAGGTTTCAGGAGACAGAGAAGGAACGTGAAACAGAGCCATGCAAGGCTACTTCCCTTATTCTACTTTCTGCTTTATCCTTTTTTCCTTTTGTGTTTTATCAGTCTTGTGTGGCAGAAACTGGCTTTTCTCTCACATATTGATTTATGTGCGAGAGTTAGGCGGTAATATATATTGGTTTAAAAACTGGGCTTGGACCCCAGAAGACCAGGTTTCAGATCCCTAAGCAGTCATGTAACTTCTCTGAGAGACTTTAGGCAACTCACGTTCTCTCAACCTTAGAGAAAGGCCATGGCAAATCTCCTCTGAACAAATTCTGCTAAGAAACCCCTGTAATGCCCCAAGAAAGCCCCTTTAGGGCTGCCATAAGTCAGAAATGTCGGCCACACAATTTACACGTAAGTCAACCTTAAAACTTGAAGTCACACATCAGCAACAGCACATACGAGGGTTGAATGAAAAGTAATGCCTCCACCTTCGTTATTTGGGTTTGGATGAGAATATTTTATTAAATCAAATGCAGAAATAATCCTTAGAATGTGCTCTTTAACTACTACTATTAACTTTTCCACATAATCACCAGATAATTGGATACATTTCTGCCAACAATGAACAAGTTTTCTGAAGCCGTCATGGAAGAAATCGAATATCTGTTTCTGCAACCCATCTTGCACAGCCAAGCAAAGCAATAATGTGACCCACACATTCTTGTGAAACGCCAATTATGTTTGAAATTTCTCTCTGAGTGATACAACGACCGTCCTGAATCAATCGCCCAAGGGCTGAGAAAAGCTGTATATAAATGAAGTAAATAAATAAATCTGTCAACCTTTTGCTTGTGAAACTCAGTGGTTGCTGTCACAGGACGCCCAACTCTTTGTTTGTCATGCAAGTCAGATGTTCCCACCTCAACATCTATAAACTTACTCACTCAACGACGCACAGTACTCAAAACAACACAATCACCATAAACAGCTCTGATGAATCTCCTTTGAGATGATACCTTCCGCTGTCAAGAATTCAATGACTGCACATTGCTTAAGCTGCATTGACTGACCATCTGTGCAGGATTCCATACTTCGCACTTTAACAACACAACCATTCAATGCTAAAGCTTCCCGCCAAAATGGAATTGTAGAGGAGAGTCTACTGAACAAGCCAGTACCTGCCAAATAACAGTACTGCCATCTGTTGAGGAGTTACGAAGGAGGAGGCATTATTTTTCATTCAACCCTCATATGTAAGCTGTACCAAGATCTTGTTTGGCCACAGAGCAGGATAAAATAGACATAAATAAGTAAATAGTATGAATGAGCATTGGATGAATGAACAGGCATCACTCCAAAAGTCAGATTGGCTGCGTGTGTTTGAACTCTCATTATTGTTAACTGAAATCCTGGAGCCCCCGGTGGCGCAGTGGGTTAAACCCCTGTGCCGGCAGGACTGAAAATCGACAGGTCGCAGGTTCAAATCCGGGGAGAGGCGGATGAGCTCCCTCTATCAGCTCCAGCTCCTCATGCGGGGACATGAGAGAAGCCTCCCACAAGGATGATAAAACATCAAATCATCTAGGCGTCCCCTGCAACGTCCTTGCAGACGGCCAATTCTCTCACACCAGAAGCGACTTGCAGTTTCTCAAGTCGCTCCTGACACGACAAAACAAAAACAAAAAAACCCCTGAAATCCTCTAAACACAACACCTAATCTCCTATCTATATTTCTGTAGGAAATAGACCCAAGAGAAATGGTTTTCCACTCCAATATGCCACCAGCATCTTAAGTCCAGCTCCCAGTGTTGTTTTACCTGTTCGGATGAACGGGAGATGGGCAACACTTGCACTTGAATTGGAGGCTCTTCTTCCTGGTGGGAAACCAAAGAGAGGGTCAACATAAGGCCCTGACATCTTTTCCCCAATCCCATTTGCCCCATAACATATTTCTACCCAGCTGGTATAGCCAGAATGACTTTGGAGCAACAGCAAATTCAATCTTTTGCAGAATGTTCACCAACATGGTGCTTGTTCCCTCACGCTGCTTCATACCTGCTTACAGGCCAAATGCTGGGAATGGGTGAAGCGAGACCCCTTGGCCAGAGCTCCAGCATGCTCACGGCCCATGCCAAAAGTACCCAAGAGCTGGATTAGGTCACGGGAGGTTGTTCCTGGGTGGGTTGAAGCAGCACGAGAAGCCCCTTGCCGGAGCTGGTCCAGGAGACGGCGCTGCAACCGCTGCTGTTTCCACTGGCGGTATTCCTGAGTGAAAAAGAAAGGAGAAGAGAGAGCATCACTACAGACTGGTGAGAGAAAAGGAGACTAAGCAAAGATTCTTGAGAAGAGCAGCCTGCCAAACTAAGGCGGGTGGGCGTGGAGATCCTATTCCTTCTTGCTGATACTTAGGAACTCAGGGGAGAGCCCAAGTTTTGGGAACTTGGTGAGTGTAAAGAGGGAACCAATTTAGGTCACTCAGAAAATCCAGGAATCTAGTCCGGCACCATGCATGTTCTGTGGGAGCTTGCTAAGAGACTTACAGCAATGCAGTGAGAAGAGATTTCAGGGCCAAAGCACTGGGACTTTTTTAATATGCACATAGGCTTTCCTCTCCTATTTAGTTAGAGTACTTTAGATTTGTTTAATAGTTTTATTGGTTTTAATTATGTATAATATTTCTATGTTTAATACTTTTTTAATGTTCTTATGTGTCATGTTTTAATTCATACATTGTTATGGGTTTTAATGTTAGCTGTTTTGAGTCTCCTTTGGCAGAGAAAAAGCAGAGTATAAATATGTCTGTGTATGTATGTGTGTATACTAGCTGTACCCACCACGCGTTGCTATGCCCAACCTTCCCTCTTTCTCTCCTTCCTTCCCTCCCTCTTTCCTTCCTTCCCTCTTTTTCTTTCCCTTCTTATTTCTCTTCTTTTGTCTTCCGTCTCTACCTGTTTCTTTCCTCCCTTTTTTGGTCTTTGGTTACATCCTTCCTTCTCTCTTTCCCGCCCACTGTTATCGTGATTGTAGGCTTTCGAAGAATGAGACAACGTTCTGGATGGAAGACGGTGTATATTCGATTTTAGTACGACGACTGACCACTGTAGTTTTTAAATTTATGTGCTTTTCCAGTGTTTCATTGTAATTATGTACTTTGATATTTTACCAATTGTATGTGTTTTTATGGTTGGAAACCGGACTGAGTCCCTCTAATGAGGTGAGAAGCTCGGTATATAAAACTTTGAAATAAATAAATAAATAAATATTTATTGGAATGTTATTTTGTTACTGTGTTTATACTTTTTTTCTATGTAATTTTTATGTTGTTGCTTGTTGTTTATGTTCTGGTTTTATTTTGCTGTAACATGTTGTCCGGGCTTGGCCCCATGTAAGCCACTCCGAGTCCCCATTGGGGAGATGGTGGCAAGGTATAAATAAAGACTTATTATTATTATTATTATTATTATTATTATTATTCCCTCCCTCTTTCTGTCTTAAGTTCCTTCTCTCCTTCCTTCCCTCTCTTTCCATTCACTTTTTAATTTCCTTCTCTCCTTCCTTCCTTCTCTGTCTTTCTTTCTTTCCTTCCTTCTTTCCTTTCCTCCTTCCCTCCTTCTCTTGTTACTTCTCGACTGGCCCTTCCAACTGTATTCTATGAGTCTATTTAATTTGTATTATATAGTAATATACAACAGTAACATATTATATAGTAATCTATATAACAGTAATATATAAAATATTGTAATTATATCATATATATAGAGAGAGAGAAAGAGAGAGAGTGAGTGAGTAGTTATATATTATGAAATACATATGTATTATATAGCAATATATATATAAGACGCAGAGCCAACCTAAAGAAATGGGGCTACAAAGTGGAATCCATGACATGTGAGTGTGGAGAAGAGCAAACTACAGACCACCTGCTGCGATGCAACCTGAGCCCTGCTACATGCACAATGGAGGACCTTCTTATGGTAACTCCAGAGGCACTCCAAGTGGCCAGCTAATGGTCTAAGGACATTTAATCAACTACCAAGTTTTCAAACTTTGTGTTTTGTTTGTCTGTTTGTTTGTTAATGCAATACAACTGTTTGGTTCGCTCCTGGCATGATAAATAAATAAACATAACAATATATAAAATAGTAATATATAAAGTATTGCAACCAGTCAACCAACATCCATAGACATATATATGTATCTACACTGCCATATAATCCAGAAAGAGAAGGGGATCCATGCGGCAAGCCTCCACCTCCACTCCCATGGTGCCCACTCTTGCTGGGGTGTGTGTGTATGTGGCTGTGCACGCATGCCTGGCTCCTAATGCTTTAATGGCCAGCTTTCCCTGTGCTGAGGAGGGGGAGTGGCCGTGGGTATCTTTGTGGACATGTGCTGTTTCTCCCTGTAGGAATTTTGGGTGTAGAAGTCCTTTCGGCTTTTTTGTTGTTGATTTTTTGAGTGAAGGACATACATTGGGTTGTTAGGTGTATGTTGCCCAAATTTGGTGTCAATTCATCCAGTGGTTTTTGAGTTATGTTAATCCCACAAATGAACATTACATTTATATATATACACACACAGAGAATGCATATCCATGGATAGATTAATGTATTACAAATAGCCATGGGAAACTGGAGAGCATGGTTGTGTAGTGACTGTCATGATGTACATCATCACTTCTGAATTCATCCCCACATTACTGTACACCACTAAATCAAGAGAGCCAGGTTCACTTCCATCTGTGATGCTCACCTCTGGAGTCATGCGTGATCCAAGGCCCTGGCTCTTCCACTCATTCTCCCAGTCTTGGGCTGCACTGAGTTCAGCCATGTTGAGTTCAAACAGAGAGGGCACCAAGGATGTCGGTTGGGGCAGCTGGGCTGACACTGGGGGCAGGAACTTGACAAAAAACTCTTTTCTCTCTAGAGAGAAAAGGAAGAAATCAGTCACATTAACCTCACTTGCTGGAGTATACTTTGGGTTGACCATATATAGGCCAAATGTAAGGAGAGCAGCTTTCACCTCCAACTATTTGTTGTTCATTCGTTCAGTCGTCTCTGACTCTTCGTGACCTCATGGACCAGCCCAGAGCTCCCTGTCGGCCGTCCCCACCCCCAGCTCCTTCAAGGTCAGTCCAGTCACTTCAAGGATGCCATCCATCCGTCTTGCCCTTGGTCGGCCCCTCTTCCTTTTACCTTCCACTTTCCCCAGCATAATTGTCTCCTCTAGGCTTTGCTGTCTCCTCATGATGTGGCCAAAGTACTTCAACTTTGTCTCTAGTATCCTTCCCTCCAATGAGCAGTCGGGCTTTAAGTAGAGACTTAAAATTCCTTCCCTGACATCAGTGGGATTTACTCTCCATGAAACTGCCATCAGAACAGACTAAAGGTCCACATGCTTGAAGAAAAACATTTGGGTCTAATTTTCAACTGACCACAGAACCAGAGCATACAACCAGGCAAAGCAAACCACACAAACCAGGATTACATACCTTTGCTTTTTACACATGCACACATACTCACAATTCGATAAACTCTTAGTACTACCATGTAATATGAACACTGCTTTTAAAATTCCATAAATGTCATTTAATTTTAAAAAGAGAGGTTGGGAAGGAGGAAAAGAGGCTTAGATTTATGGCAAGACTATTATTTATTATATATATTATTATTTATAGAGCCCCCGTGGCGCAGTGGGTTAAAGCACTGAGCTGCTAAACTTGTTGACCGAAAGGTCACAGGTTTGAATCCGGGAAGCGGCGTAAGCTTCCGCTGTCAGCCCTAGCTTCTACCAACCTAGCAGTTCGAAAACATGCAAATGTGAGTAGAGCAATAGGTACCGCTCCGGCAGGAAGGTAACGGTGCTCCATGCAGTTATGCTGGCCACATGACCTTGGAGGTGTCTACGGACAATGCTGGCTCTTCAGCTTAGAAATGGAGATGAGCACCACACCCCAGAGTCGGATACAACTAGACTTAATGTCAGGGGAAAACCTTTATCTTTTATTGTGTGTATACATATACACACACTGGAAAAGAGGTGTGCTATAGGGAGAAGCAGAGATACTTGCATTTTTTTCTGATACTTGATGACAAAGGAGGCCTTGACATAGAGGCATTCCTTCAAGATAACTGTAACAGAAAACTGGTGCAGGTACTGAAATATTTCAGGCCTTCCTGGGACAAAAATTTGAGGTCTTTTGGTACAATTCCCCTCTTCTTAGGCTTTCATAAATAAATAAATAAACCCAACACTGTAAAAATCACCTTAAATTCGTGAAACTATTTATATCTTACCCATTGGCAGGGCAGGAAATATTCACAATGATTCATTTTTGTTCGTTAGATTCATATCCCTATTGGGCAAAGGCCAAGGACCCGTCTGAGTAAAGAAATCCCACTTCCTGTGTTTGCTTACTCTCTGAAGAGGGACTGTGAAACATGTAGTCAGGTTATGTTCTGCAGAGATTGCTCCAGTCTATTTTATGTAGTGCCTACAGCAAAATGAATTTCTAAGATCCTAAAATTAGTATGAGATAATTTGTTGAACAATTTATGAGATACTGTATATACTCGAGTATAAGCCTAGTTTTTCAGCCCCTTTTTTAGGCTGAAAAAGCTCCCCTCGGCTTATACTCGTGTCAAGGTTATTTATTATTTTATTCTGTTATTAGTATTATTTTTATTTCATGTATTTTACTTTCTTTATTATTATTACATTTACAGTATTTTACCTTATTATTATTATTATTACATTTATTATACTTTATTATTATTTCATTTATTATTTACTCTATTATTACATTTATTATTTTGCTCTATTATTACTGTTATTATTGCATTTCCATTATTTTACTTTATTGTTATTATTATTATTACATTTATTATTTTATTCTCTTTATTATTGTTGGAAGGATGTGTAAGTAGTATATTTACATTGTAGAAAGGTTAAAATAATGATTTAATCAGAGTGGGGCAGTCTTATCTCAAATTACAGTTTTATGTAAATATTTAAAAACATTTCACCTTCTGGTGCCTCAATTAATGTAATTTTATTGGTATCTATTTTTATTTTGAAATTTACCCGTAGCGGCTGCATTTCCCACCCTCGGCTTATACTCGAGTCGATATATTTTCCCAATTTTTGTGGTAAAATTAGGTGCCTCGGCTTATATTCGGGTTGGCTTATACCCAGTATATACGGTAATTTGTTGAACAAAGTACCATCTTCCCTTACATCAGCAGTTCCCAACCTTTCTTGACCAGGGATCACTCTCCAACATTAGTACCAAAGGAGTTACAAATTAGTTTATAGTCAACTTTAGATTCGGTTTGGGGTGCTGCTTCAGAAAATTGAATTGGATACACCACATCAGCTATGATACAGAACATATACCATGGTCAGCACCAGGGAAGGAGTGGCCGGTGGCATGAAAGAAGCAGAAATAAAATAAAATAAAGAGGAAGGAGGCTCACGGACCAGATTTTCGTTCTCACGGCCTACTGCTGGTCTGAGGCCCACAGGTTAAGAACCACTGCCTTACATACTTCAGTATTTGTTTGCATTGTAGTCTTCTTTATATTGATTCAGTAGAGGAAGCCTCATGAATCAGGGATCTTTCTGACATTCTTTGCAACACACACACACATAATTATACATACAAACTAGCACCACATTGACTCTACCGTGGATGCAGGAAGGTCATTAGATTCAGAAAACTGGAACTTGTATGAAATGAGAGCCTGCAGAAACTTTGAGACTGAGACAAAGACATTAAGTTTTCACAGACTTAATCTGTTTCCTCATTAGGTGCATAGAGTTAACTCATTCATAGGAATGAACCTGTGAATTCATGAGTAGCCACAGAAATGCAAAACTTGTGGGTATGGTGAGGATTGAGGAATAATGATTCCTGAGGGACAACCATAGTTAAGACTGAATGTGCCCCTCATTGCCACAGCTATTGTATTTCTATGGCTATTCATACAGTCAGCTCATAAAGATCCATTCTTATGCATTGGCTTACTCTATTCATAAGGAAATAGACATAAGTACTAGTCAAGAAAAGGTGGCGAGACTATACAGAAGATCTGTATAGGAAGGATAATAATATCGAGGATAATTTTGACTGTGTGGTAAGTGAATTAGAACCAGACATCCTGAGGAGTGAGGTTGAGTGGGCCTTAAGTAGCATTGCTAACAACAAGGCAGCAGGAGACGACAGGATCCCAGCTGAACTGTTTAAAATCTTGAAAGATGATGCTGTCAAGGTGATGCATGCCATATGCCAGCAAATATGGAAAACACAAGAATGGCCATCAGACTGGAAAAAAATCAACTTATATCCCCATACTAAAAAAAGGGAAATGCTAAAGAATGCTCAAACTTTCGTACAGTGGCCCTTATTTCAGTACGGTAATGCTCAAGATCCTGCAAGGAAAACTCCAGCAATACATGGACCAAGAGTTGCCAGATGTACAAGCTGGGTTTAGAAAAGGCAGAGGAATGAGAGACCAATATCCGATGGATAATGGAGAAAGGTAGGGAGTTTCAGAAAAACATCTATTTATGATTTATTGACTATTCTAAAGCCTTTGACTGTGTGGATCATAATAAATTGTGGCAAGTTCTTGGTGGTATGGGTATACCAAGCCACCTTATCTCTCCCCTGAGGAAGCTGTATAAGGACCATGTAGCAATAATAAGAACTGACCACGGAACAACAGACTGGTTCAAGATTGGGAAAGGCATACGGCATGACTATATACTCTCATCCGACCTATTCCACTTGTATGCAGAACACATCATGCGATATACAGAGCTTGACAAATACAAGGCTGGGGTGAAAATTGCTGGAAGAAACATTAACAACCTCAGATATGCAGATGACACCACTCTGATGGCCGAAAGCGAGGAGGAGCTGAGGAGCCTTCTAATCAAGGTGAAAGAAGAAAGTGCAAAAGCTGGGTTGCAGTTAAACATCAAGAAAACCAAGATTGTGGCAACAAGAATGATTGACAACTGGGAAATAGAGGGAGAAAACGTGGAGGCCGTGACAGACTGAAAGGTGCAAAGGTGACTGAAGACGCCGACTGCAGCCAGGAAATCAGGAGATGCTTACTTCTTGGGAGGAGAGCAATGACAAATCTCGATAAAATAGTGAAGAGTAGAGACATCACACTGGCAACAAAGATCTGCATAGTTAAAGCAATGGTATTCCCCATAGTCACCTACGGATGTGAGAGCTGGACCACAGGGAAGGCTTAGTGAAGGAAGATAGATGCTTTTGAACTGTGGGTTGGAGGAAAGTTCTGAGAGTGCCTTGGACCATAAGAAGATCCAACCAGTCCATACTTCAGGAAATAAAGCCCGACTGGTCATTGGAGGGAAGGATAGTAGAGGCAAAGATGAAGTACTTTGGCCACATCATGAGAAGAAAGGAAAGCTTAGAGAAGACAATGATGCCGGGGAAAATGGAAGGAAAAAGGAAGAGGGGCCGACCAAGGGCAAGATGGATGGATGGTACCCTTGAAGTGACTGGATTGACCTTGAAGGAGCTGGGGGTGGTGATGATCGACAGGAAGCTCTGGCGTGGGCTGGTCCATGAGGTCACGAAGAGTCGGAAACGATTGAACGAATGAACAACAACAACTAGTTTGATTCATGTATCTGGGGAAGTAGACTCAAAAAGCTTACATAACAACTTCTTTGTCTCATTAGTCTCAAAGTTGTTACAGCATTCCTTCATTTATGTCTTGAAACCTGGAGGCTGGAAAAGCCTCTTGTTTTGGACTGTATTTCTCCAAATCCTAGGCTAGCATGTGGACTCTTCAAAGTTTTGCAGCAAAGTAAATAGTAAATAGTAAAGTCCATCCCAAGAGCAGTTTGCTAGCTTCCCTTGTATGTCTTTTCCCCAGGAGTCTTGTGAGCAGAACTCACCTTGGGGTACCTTTCCAAGGAAGGGGTCTGACTCCCGATGTAGGACCAAAGGTTGAGCCTGGAATCGCTTCAATAGGCAGGAACCCTAGCAGGTGGAAAAGGGAGAAAAGAGAGGCTGAGAAAAATAGTCACATACTCAGAAAGAAATATACACTGAGTGAGCCTCTACCTCAAGGTTATTATTATCATTATTATATTAGGAGAACAGTGGAAAATAAATAAATTATGTAGTGGCCAGCCTGATCAGAGCAATAAGGAAGCATACCTGTAAAAGTTGCAAGCGAGGGGTACGGCAGGAGGGGGGCACCCATGGAATGGCCAGTTGCTCCTTGACAGCAGCAGCAATGGCTTTGTGAAGTGTGGCCGACTTTCCTGCAAAGACACAGCAATTTAGATAGATCCCCATAGCACAAGACCCAGTCCTCCTGGTGCCCTGAATCTCTTTCTGCCCAGTGCCCTCCATACCCACAGGCTGGTCAGCATCTTCTGAGGCATCCCGTGGGAGTTTCTCCACCAAGAAGAGGAGGAGGCGTCGGATTTCAGGTTCGCTGCTGTACAAGAAGGTCTGGTAGCCCACCTCTCCTTGATAGCCTAAGTCCTGGATGATAGAAAATATGGTGGAAACTCAGAAACTGAGGTAAGAGTAGCATGGTGGCCATGGGCCCTCAAGACATCCAGTGACTTTGGCTCCCAGCATCCCTATGCTAGGTGAGGTTAAAGGAAGTCAGAGCAAATGGTGGCTCCCATGTCAGAAGGCTCCTTTCCAGGTTTCAGTCTAATTTTTAAAGTTGCTGAACTCTATCCCCAGAATACATTTGGTATTTTGGATAGCTCTTCTAATGCAATCCAAAATCCAGAGTAAATTCACAATCCCATAATCTAGGCACTAACTGCTGCTACTGCAGCGGAAAGAAGGAACTAAAGCGTCAACCCCTCCTACTGGCTATATATACTATCGGGGGGGGGCATGGGGGGGGCTTCCGCCAAAAAGTATCCTTTTAAGATTCTAGAGAGTTCTGAAACTGTCTGCGCAGGCGCAGAAAACCCATATGTGTGCATTTCACAGGACCACGCAGAGGAAAGAACTGAATACCGTGATTCTGTCACACATGAGCATGCCTACTGCTTGGCCACAAAAGACACACAAACCTACAATGCTCCCAATGGGGTTTTCCCCACTGACATTTCTATTCCTTCTCATTTCCAACTGCCTTCTCTGTTTTTTTTTTTCTGCCGCATTTCTCCATTTGCTGTCCTTCCTACTCCTCAAAATGGTAGCTCAAGAAGTCCTTCGCCTTTCACTTTGTTTGGCTCGAAATTACACAACCCAAGCTTATAAAACATCATTGTCTTTCTTTTCTTTGGGCAACAGAAAGGGCCATGGGTCAGGTAGGCTTCAGGTAGAAGCTGTGAAGATTGTAGAAGAGGTCTTAGTGTGGAAGGAATAGGGGTTGCCCAGGTGGGCGGTTGTGCCCACAGTCAATATGTTGCTGACTTCCAAATCACCATCCTGAAGTATGAACCTTCTGAGCCCTCACTTAGTGCATCATGTCCCAGAGCTTAGTTATACTCACCTGGCAAGCCTGTGCCAAGCTCATGCCTATCCGGAAGCGAGCTGACATGCCAGGAGGCAGGATGTGGCTGAGGCCTGCCCCCACTGAAGGACTGATGACACGGAGGCATCGCACCACAGACTCAATAATCAGCTCAGTGGTGAATTCACGGATACTTTGGACTTCATCCGGGATGTCCCTGAGGAGAAAAAGGGAAAGTCTAGAGATGATAGGTCCTCCTCAAAGTGCTGCTGCTGCTTCAGTCAACATGTCAGGTGGGGCACTTGTAGCCTTTCAGAAGTTTACTTATTTATTTATTTAAAACATTTATATTCCACCCTTCTCACCCTGAAGGGGACTCAGGGCGGAGCACAGCATATATAAGGCAAACATTCAATGCTGGGACACAAATTCATATATGCATACATACACATTAAAAAACATTTATCTAAATATTAAAATACACCATTTAAAACCGTCCTGGTCATCCGTGTAAAATCTAATTGGCCTGGTCATCTTTCATATTGCCGCTTAATAATATTATTATTATTATTATTATTATTATTATTATTATTATTATTCTAATAATAATATTATTCTGTCCCGAAAGCTTGGTCCCACAGCCAAGTTTTTACCATCCTTCTAAAGGACAGGAGGGAGGGGGGCAACCTGATCTCACCAGGAAGGGAGTTCCATAGCCGGGGAGCAATCACCGAGAAGGCCCTGTCTCTCGTCCCCACCAATCGTGCCTGTGACAATGGGAGGACAGAAAGCAGGGCCTCCCCAGAGGATCTTAATCTCCATGATGGTTCATAGGGGGATGTTCGGACAGGTAATTTGGCTGGATTTATTTATTTAGAGCTTTTATAACCCGGTCTTCTCGACCTCTGAGAAGGGACTCAGGCCAGCTAACAACAGAGAATCAATATACAAATAAACTAAAGCATAATAACATTATAGTACATTAATACATTAAAATACAGATCATGGGCTTTATAGGCCAAAGCCAGCACTTTGAATTGTGCCCGGTAGCAAACTGGCAGCCTGTGGAGCTGGCATAACATGGGAGTTGTATTCTCGCTGTATGCCACCCCAGTTATTAACCTGGCTGCCTCTCGTTGAACTATTTGAAGCTTCCGAGCAGTCTTCAAAGGCAACCCCACATAGAGTGTGTTGCAGTAGTCTATCTTAGATGTAACGAAAGCATGGACCACCGTGGCCAAGTCTGACTTCCCAAGGTACAGGCGCAGCTGGAGCACAAGTTTTAATTGTGCAAACGCTCCCCTGGCCACTGCTGCAACCTGGGATTCCAGGCTCAGTGATGAATCCAGGAGAACTCCTCCTATCATCACCCACCATGACTGAATCTGGCTAGGACGGTTGGGCACTGGAGCCCAACAACATTTTGAAGGGTTTCTCAGTCCAGCCCTGCAGTTTTCATTCTATCTGTTTAGAACAATAGTCAAAAGTTCAGCCTCTGGAGCTACACACAGCCCATTTTTTGGCTCCTGCAAACCTCCTCTGTTCACCCAAGCAGCTACCCTAATTTATACAAACATTGTCATGATTTCTGGCAATTTTGGCCCCAAACCAGGCAGAAACCACCCAGTGCATAAAAAACACATAAACATAACCCAATCTCACCCCATACCACAAAAAAAAACAAAAAAAAAAAACACAATTTCTCTTTGCCGTATATCTCAAAATGAAAAGTATTTAGGTTTGTTGTGGGGAGTGGTCCACAAAGAAATGTTGGTTGGAAATTGGCTGCTGGTCTAGACATAGCTACCAAGATAGGCCATGGCAGACAGCATAAATTGGTTGCCTAAATGTGAATTCAATTTAAGAAAAACAGAAGCAGCATATGGGAATGAATTGCCCGCTGCCCCATCCTTTCGCACAGTTTGTCCGAGGTGAAACACTGCTCTGTTACTGGACTGCCTATCTCAGCTGCTAACTTGTGGGAATATAGTGTCCTCGCGTTTTCAACAAAGGAAATGAAGATCTATTCTGCCAAACTTCCCCTTGCAAGACTAATAGTGTATTGAATACCATGCTATGCTACTTCCATGGGAATCAGTCACACTGACTTACCTGCAAGTAAACATGCATGAGATTTAAGTACAGAAGCGTGGGCAAAGATGTGTATTATTCAAATCTGACTTCACCAAGGGAAACTATTGCTATCTCAGCACAGACCTTCATTTGCAGCATAGAGAAACTGGTCTCTCTTATACCATTGTCATAGAATCATAGAATCATAGAGTTGGAAGAGACCTCATGGGCCATCCAGTCCAACCCCCTGCCAGGAAGCAGGAAAATTGCATTCAAAGCACCCCTGACAGATGGCCATCCAGCCTCTGTTTAAAAGCTTCCAAAGAAGGAGCCTCCACCACACTCCAGGGCAGAGAGTTCCACTGCTGAACAGCTCTCACAGTCAGGAAGTTCTTCCTCATGTTCAGATGGAATCTCCTTTCTTGTAGTTTGAAGCCATTGTTCCGTGTCCTAGTCTCCAGGGCAGCAGAAAACAAGCTTGCTCCCTCCTCCCTATGACTTCCCTCACATATATTAATACATGGCTCTGGCCCTGCTTATCTGTCCAAACGTATCTCTCCTTATGAACCATCCAGGAATTTAAGATCTTCTGGAGAGGCCCTGCTCTCTGTCCCGCCTTCTTCACAGGTTTGGCTGGCAGGGACGAAAGATAGGGCCTTTTCAGTGGTGGCCCTTTGGCTATGGAACGCCCTCCCCAGAGATATTAGATTGGCTCCCACTCTCCTAACATTCCAAAAAAAGTCAAAACCTGGCTTTGTGAGCAGGCTTTCACAAATGCAATGTAGTAAATAATTACTTAACCTTAGATAAGTGCAATCAGATAAAGATTCTGGAAATTAGATACAGAGGATTTATGTTTTATTGATTTTATTGTTTATGGAATTTTAAGGATGTTTATATGCTTTTAACTGTTCATATTATTGTGGCATCGAATTGTGCCGGAGCCCCCGGTGGCGCAGTGGGTTAAACCCCTGTGCCGGCAGGACTGAAGACCGACAGGTTGCAGGTTCGAATCCAGGGAGAGGTGGATGAGCTCCCTCTATCAACTTCAGCTCCTCATGCGGAGACGTGAGAGAAGCCTCCCACAAAGATGATAAAAAAAAAAAATCAAATCATCCGGGCGTCCCCTGGGCAATGTCCTTGCAGATGGCCAATTTTCTCACACCAGAAACGACTTGCAGTTTCTCAGGTCACTCTTGACACGACAAAAAAATTTGAATTGTGCCGGTTTTGTAAACCACCCTGAGTCGCCCTTGGGCTGAGAAGGGCGGTATAAAAATATAGTAAATTAATAAAATAAATAAATGGCTATCATGTCTCCTCTCAGCCTTCTCTTCTTCAGGCTAAAGAAGAGCCCGAATACTGCTATGATGTATTGTCAGGGATGGATAATATATTAAATTAACATTTCCCACCATCCTTAACTTGCAGGTGTCCTGTTTAAAGCAGAGAGATGAACTGCAGCTCAGGAATATTTCAATGATCAGTCCTCACCCACCCCAGCCATGTATAAAATGTTTTTTAGAAGAAATGTTAGAGGTCATAAAATGTAATTGTGATTGGTGGAAGTGTTTCTGAGGCTTACTTTATGTATTTTACATGTGTCCGTGACCCATTTCTATTTTGTTGCAGAGTGATGCTCTTTGTTTGCAAAGCATCGAGTATATTGAGCATGCTGCCCGAGCTGTGAGTCATCAAGGCATCATGGGCCTGCCAGTCATGTACAGCAGCCCAGGAGCAGCTCCATAAGCCTCCTCTTTTTGCTGCCTACTCCGTTTTACAAGATCAAGAACGTTGTTGTGTTGCACTTGGTGATCCAACACCTAGGACTGTGGGGGTGGATGCAGGTGGTTGCATTTCGCTTGGCGGGTGAGACATTTGGCAGGTTTGCTCTAAGAGGGCTTACATAAACGCTGGTTATTGCTGCTCCTCAAAAGAAGTCACAGAACCACCAAGATGGTTCTGGCATCCAGTGATTAATCCAAGCCTGGTTACTAAGCAATGGCTTCCTCCCACACAACCCCAGGAAACAGCCAAAGGCTTGGCGGAAGTGAATGCAGAGGATCAGCAGGAAAGCAGAGCTTTCAATGGAAGAACAGTGGGAAAAGCAAGAAGAGGGGGAAGCTTTGAGCTGTCAAGAAACAGCAAAAGCCACATATATGTGACCCCAATTAAGTCCTTGCTTGGACTCGGGAAAAAACCTGGCATAAAGGATGTGGATCAATTAGCTCCCCAGGGAAGTATTTCAGCCTGTTCTCCGTGTGGTGAGATCTGTTTTATTACAGCACATGGCAGGGCGAGTGGTCTGGGTTTTGAAAGACCTCCTGCAGGATGTTTATATTCTCTGACCAGAGCTTGAAAAAAAAATATCCTATTTTGTTTTTGAAAACTTAAAATCTCCCAGCCAGCATGCACACTTTTTTCCAAGCTCAACAAATAACAAGCCATAACAAAAGACTCCCCTATGGAAGGAGAAGAGTAGCAGCTAAGGGCACGTCCATCACACTTAGACCTAGCTACTGATGCAGGTGAGAGAAAGACCATATTTTAGTGCCCTCGAATCCTGGGATTTGCAGTTGTGACATCTAGAATTCTCAGTCAAAGATTTCTAGTGTCTCAATAAATTATATACCAAGGATATTAGGTCCCACAAGGTTCCATGCTTTTTAACATCTACATGATACCGCTGGGAGAGGTCATCCGGAGTTTTGGAGTTGAGTGCCATCTCTACGTAGATGACGCCCAACTCTACTACTCTTTTCCACCTAATTCCAAGAAAGCCCCTCAGGTACTGGACGAGTGCCTGGCCGCTGTGGCTGTCTGGATGAGGATGTATAAGCTGAGGATCAATCCTGACAAGACAGAGGTCCTCCTGGTCGAGTGTAAGCCGGATCGGGGTATAGGGTGGCAATCTGTGCTTGATGGGGTTGCATTCCCCCTGAAGTCACAGGTCCGCAGCTTGGGTGTCCTCCTGGACTCATCGCTAACGCTTGAAGCCCAGGTGTTGGTGGTGGCTGGGAGGCCTCTGCACAATTAAAACTCATGCACCAGCTGCGACCGTACCTTAAGAAGTTGAACCTGGCCATCGTGGCCCACACCTTAGTCATCTCCAGATTGGATTACTGTAATGCACTCTACATGGGGCTGCCCTTGAAGACAGCTCGGAAATTTGAATTGGTACAACGGGCGGCAGCCAGGTTACTAACTGGAGCGACTTACATGGAGCGGTCAACCCCTCTGTTTAAGGAGCTCCATTGGCTGCTGTTCATTTTCCGATCCCAATTCAAGGTGCAGGTTCTTACCTACAAAGCCCTGAACGGTTTGGGGCTTTGGGTGACCACATTTCTGTGTACGAACCCACACGATCTCTTTGATCATCTGGAGAAGCCCTGCTCTTGCTCCTGCCCCTTCGAAGGCGCGATTGGTGGGGACGAGGGAGAGGGCCTTCTCTATGGTGGCCCCCCGACTCTGGAACTCACTCCCCAAGGATATCAGAATAGCCCCCACATTGGCAGTCTGGTCTCTGACTTGGAGGGGCTACAATGTTCTTTGGGAAATGAATCAGGTGAAGGTACTGCAAATCTCATCATTCTTGGCCCATCCTGCCCTAAACCGCACCAGGTTTTAAAGTGGGCCATTTGGCCTCTGTGTGCCAAGTTTGGTCCTCATCCATCATTGGTGTGGGCCACAGTACTCTAAAGTAGTGAGTTAAAGTATTGCAAGTCCTGTCATCCATGGTCCATCCTCCCTCAAACTGCACCAGGATGTAGAGTGGGTCTTGGGGGGGGGGGGTCTGTGTGCCAAGTTTGGTCTTGTTCTGTCAATGTTGGGGGCCATAAGTTGTTTTGGACTTCAACTCCAACCATTCCTGACAGCCTCAGGCCTTTAGCTCTCCTCTCTGTGTCACCTCAGAATGTTGGAATTTTGAGGCTGGCCAATCAGAGAGCATATGCAAATTGTACCACAGTGGCAGCCAATCAGAACGCTGCCACAAACACCTCCCTCCCTCCACATACAAACACTGACTTTTATTATATACATAGATAGATAGATTATTCAGTCTGCTCCACCCACTCAAACAATATAAGCAGCAACCTTAATTCCCCCTCCATCCCTTTTTTTGTTGTGAGCCATGTCTTAAATTTAGATGATAAGCCCCACAAAGCGCCATTATACTACTTATCTTTTTGACTAAAGAGTGAAGTATAAGTGCTATCAACAAATAAGTAAATATTACGTCCTTCAGTGCAGCAATGTTTAAGATTCTTCCCAACCCGCCCCTACGTCCAGCAAACTCTGATCTACTTTTAGCTACACAACACTACTTCACGGCTCCCTCCCAACTTGCAATCGGTGAGAAAAAACAATATCACCAAGATGGCCTTACGTCCCAGAGAGGCGGAGGGAATGTATGAGGATCTTGTCCACCTCCTCCATGAGGCCGGAACATTCAGGGACAGGGGGACCTCTGTAGAAAAAAATAAGAAGAAAAGTGAAGCCAGCAATGAGGGAGTCAACAATTTCGATGAATACAGAAGCAATGCTTACATAAGAATCCCATAAGCAGAAAGCTGATCTAGGTTGTTGAAACAAGTCTCCCCTACGTCGCTTGTGTAGCCATAGTTGACAGTGAAAGCCCCTTCTCTCCAACCAGCACTACTTCTGGGGGGGGGGGGGGGGGGGCTTCTATACTGCCATATTATCTGCTTTGAACTAGATTATGTGCCAGTATAGACTCATATAATCCAGTTCAAAACAGGTAATGTGGATTATCTGCTTTGATAATCTGGATTATATGACAGTGTAGAAGGGGCCTGGGAGAGAGTGATTTACCCCTTGGGTTTCCCTGATTTGAGTGTGGACTTGAACTCTTGTCTCTGTTCTTGTAGCCCAACACTCAAACCACTACACCACACAGACTCTCCATTTCTGAAAGTTACTAATCTACTAATATTTTGAATTGCCTGCTTGCTGACATGTGCTGAACGAAATTTCTCCCGGTGACCAATGGCACTTGACTAAACTGTAGAATTTATCACTACGTTGGGTTGTTGTAGGTATTTTGGGCTATATGGCCATGTTCTAGAAGCATTCTCTCCTGACGTTTCACCTGCATCTGTGGCAAGCATCCTCAGAGGATGCTTGCCATAGATGCAGGCGAAACGTCAGGAAATGTTGGGAATCAGGAAATAACTCCTACACAGGGTTTGCCGTTGCTGTTAGCTGCCATCAAGTTGACTTTGACTTATAGTGACACTTTGAAAGAAAAACCTCAAAGTTTAGCCTCTCATCTAGTTAGATCTTAGAATCATAGAATTGGAAGAGACCACATGGACCATCTAGTCCAATCCCCTGCCATGCAGGAAAAGCACAAATTACTCTGACAGATGGCCATCCAGCCTCTGTTTAAAAGCTTCCAAGGAAGGAGCTTCCACCACACTCCAAGGTAGAGTTCCACTGCTGAACACCTCCCATAGTCAGGAAGCTCTTCCTAATGCTCAGGTGGAATCTCTTTTCCTGTAGTTTGAACACATTGCTCTGAGTCTGGGTTTCCAGGACAACAGAAAAAAATCTGCTCCCTCTTCCTTATGTCACCTTTTCACATATTTATACATGGCGATCATGTCTCCTCTCAACTTTCTGTTCTGCAGACTAAACACACCCAGCTCTTTAAGATGCTCCTCACAGGGATTCATGGTCTCCAGACCGTTGATCATTTTAGTTGTCCTCTTCTGGAAACCTTCCAGCTTGTCAATATTGCTTTTAAAGTGTGGTGCTCAGAATTGGGACATAGTATTCCAGGGAAGGTCTGACCAAAGTATGTTTTTATTGTTTTAATATGGTTTTTATATTATCTGCTAAATGTTTTTAACTGTATTTTATGTTTGTTGTGGCACTGAATTGTTGTCAACTGTAAACCGTCTTGAGTCATCTTTGGGCTGAGAAGGGCGGTATACAAATACCGCAAATAAATAAATAAAGCAGAATAGAGAGGAACCATGACTTTATTTGTTTGTTTATTTATTTACTGTATTTGTATACCGCCCTTCTCAGCCCTCAGGCGACTCAGGACAGTTTACAATGACAATGATTTGATGCCCCAGCAAACATAAAATGCAATTAAAAACATTTAGCAGACTGCCCTCGATCTAGACACTATACTCCTTTTGATGCAGCCCAAAATCCCATTAGCCTTTTCAGCTGCTGCATCACACTGTTGGCTCATGTTCAACTTGTCCACAAAGACTCCAAGATCTTTCTCACATGGACTGTTGTCGGGCCAGGGGTCAACTATCCTGTATCTGTACATTTCATTTTTTTTCTGCCTAAGTGTCCTATCTTACATTGGTCCTTGTTGAAATACATTTTGTTCGTTTTGACCAATCAGCTCTCTAATCTGAGCGTTCCTTGCTGAAGAAGGCAAAGAGGCTTGACAAAGAGGTGTGTCCTTTCCTTCCAGCCATACGAGTCAAACATGCAAAGCAGGTGAACATAGCATTGAATGAAACATGCAGAATAATCACAGGATGTCTTAAACCTATACCTGTTGATAGACTCTACAAGCTAACTGGCATTGTCCCTCCTGATGTGCGACGGAAAGTGGCTGCTAAATGTGAGAGAAACAAGGTTGAACACTGTGAAAGCCACCCACTACATGGCTACCAGTCTCCTCCCAGTAGAATCATAGAACTGGAAGAGACATCATGGGCCATCCAAGTCCAATCCCTTGCCAAGAAGCAGGAAAATTGCATTCAAATCACCCCTGACAGATGGCCATCCAGCCTCTGTTTAAAAGCTTCCAAAGAAGGAGCCTCCACCACACTCTGGGGCAGAGAGTTCCACTGCTGAACGGTTCTCACAAATCAAGGCTAAGCTTTATGAGAACTACCACTCTTCTTGGCATTTCCCCAGCAACAGCAAGGGTATCCCTCTGGGCAGCTAGATCAGGAAACCCCAACTAGATGGCCCCCCACGGGGGCCTTCCTCCAGGGACAAACCAAGAATGGCCAACTTGGAAGTCCCTGAACAGACTCAGAAGTGGAGTGGGCAGATCAAAAGACAACCTGGCAAAATGGCACTACCTAAAAGAATCGCACACTTTGTATGACTGTGGAGCAGAACAGAATACTCCGCATCTGTATGCTTGTCCACTATGCCCTGCCTCATGTACAGAGGAGGAATTGTTAATGGCTACAGACAATGCTGTTGCCCGTTTTTGGTCAAAAGATATTTAGCCATCTGCGCACCTTCTATTTTTATCGGTTTTATACTTATTTATGCAATGCTTTTGATATGAAATAAATAAAACCCGTACGAGCCTTGCAGACAATATAATAATAATAATAACACAATAATAATCTATCTTTATATAAATGCTCTGTGCATAATGAATACCTTAAAAACAAAACAACCAATGAATGATATCACACCAAATTTGGCAACAAAACATCTCACTACACAAGGAGTGACCATCACTCAAAAAAATATCATTTTGTCATTTGGGAGTTGTAGTTGCTGGGATTTATAGTTCACCTACAATCAAAGAGCATTCTGAACTCCACCAATGATGGAATTGAACCAAATTTGGCACACAGAACTCCCATAATAATAATAATAATAATAATAATAAATACAAATATATAAACACAACAAAATGTCTGAGAACAGGAATAATAGAAGTGTCATGACAAGGAAAGGTCTCTAAGCCCTGTGCAAGGGGAAGGAAGTGGGGCCCCTCTGCAGTGGGGGGGCGTGATGGGGGGTGGGCAGAGCCTGCTGCAGCTCCCAAGGACAAACGGGGGAGAGCCTTGCTTTGGAGCGGCCAGGAGGGCCAAAGGGAGAGGCTGCCTCTCCTTTGCAGGGCAAGGCAGGCAGGCAGGCAATGGTACTCACCGCTCCCTCCGCTCTGAGCTGGGCCAGGCACTCAGTCACGGGACTCGCCCCGAAGCACCATGGGAAGTGTAGTGCAGAAGCCCTACTGGCCGGCCCTGACGCGCTAGCGCCTTGCATTATGGGATGAGCGCAGAGCAAAAGTCAAGCTAGATTCACATCACCGCAGAATCTCAGGCACAAGCTGCGATGAATCTCTCCAAGCGTCCTAAGATGCATCTACACTGAAGAATTAATGTAGTTTGACACCGGTTTAATTCCTACCGCTCTGTGCTATGGGATCCTGGGAGTTTAGCTCAATATTGACACTGTAGATGATGCCATGGGAATTCCGAGAATTCTGATTTGGAGAAACGACACTCTTCGGCAGAGAAGGCAAACTACAACTCCCAGGATGCCATTGCATTCGGCCATGGCATTCATTCTACAGTGTAGATGCACCCTAAAGTCCCAATGGTCCAATTGAGATAAACCGGCCAATCTTTATATATGGCAGTGGGCTTCCATTCCTTTTCATGTCATTGATGCCAGCTGGCCGCCCAGCGAGAACAGAGAGCATCACGGGAAGTGTAGTCCCGGCGCATCGCGAAGAGGCCGCGGAGAGGTGGGGCTCTGGCTGGCTGTGGCGCGTGCTGCGGCGCGCGCAAGGAGGAGCCACTGTCTCCTAGCAACCGAAGCGCGGCCTTTTCATTTTTGTGCAAAGGAGGGGCGGGCGGGGGGAGGGAGGGAAAACAATGTGAAAGCCTTGACTGGTTTGTCTTGATATGATAAACCTGGAGAAAGGCAGGGAGTTTCAGAAAAATATCTATTTCTGCTTTATTGACTATTCTAAAGCCTCTGACTGTGTGGAACATAATAAATTGTGGCAAGTTCTTGGTGGTATGGGCATACCAAATCACCTTGTCTCTCTCCTGAGGAATCTGTATAAGGACCAGGTAGCAACAGTAAGAACTGACCGCAGAACAACAGACTGGTTCAAGATTGGGAAAGGTGTATGGCAGGGTTGTATCCTCTCTCCCAACCTATTCAACTTGTATGCAGAACACATCATGCGATGTGCGGGGCTTGACGAATGCAAGGCTGGGGTGAAAATTGCTGGAAGAAACATTAACAACGTTCGATATGTAGATGATATCACTTTGATGGCTGAAAGAGAGGAGGAGCTGAGGAGCCTTCTAATCAAGGTGAAAGAAGAAAGCGCAAAAGCTTGGTTGCAGCTAAACATAAAAAAAAACCCAAGATTATGACAACAAGAATGATTGACAACTGGGAAATAGAGGGAGAAAATGTGGAGGCAGTGACCGACTTTGTATTTCTAGGTGCAAAAATCACTGCAGATGCAGACTGCAGCCAGGAAATCAGGAGACACTTACTTCTTGGGAGGAGAGCAATGTCCAATCTCGATAAAATAGTGAAGAGTAGAGACATCACACTGGCAACAAAGATCCGCATAGTTAAAGCAATGGCATTCCCCATAGTCAGCTACGGATGTGAGAGCTGGACCATAGGGAAGGCTGAGCAAAGGAAGATAGATGCTTTTGAACTGTGGTGCTGGAGGAAAGTTCTGAGAGTGCCTTGGACCGCAAGAAGATCCAACCTGTCCATACTTCAGGAAATAAAGCCCGACTGCTCATTGGAAGGAAGGATAGTGACGTCAATAGGAACTTTAGAAGGGTCTACCCCAGGAGGAGAGACCCTGCGGACCCACCAAAGAGGGATTGCTACATTGGTGAGCAAAGAGAAGCCTAATTTTAAGCAATTTATTTTCCCTAAGTTCCCAAAAAGAATCTCACCAAAGTTGAAGAAAGCGTCACTGAGATGTTTTATTAGCGATTCAGCTGAAAAGGATGCAAAGCAGCAATCATTCGCCAAGCTAAGCATACATGTACACAAATTTATTTATTTATTTATTTATTTACTGCATTTATTGACCGCCGCTCTCAGCCCTAGGGCGACTCGCGGCAGTGCACAACATATAAAAACAGTTTACAAAAAGGGCAAAACAGGGAATCAATACAACAATAATACACTATAATCTGGTTACACTAAATAATCCGCTCCGTCACATCATAGAATCATAACCAATATCGTAATCTGTATTCCGTTCCAGTTGTCAATTACCAGTTGCCGTAGCGCTCAGTTGAATGCCTTCTCAAATAGCCAGGTCTTCAGGCTCTTACGGAAGGACAGAAGGGAAGGCGCCTGTCTGATGTCAGCAGGGAGGTCGTTCCACAGCCGGGGGGCCACCACCGAGAAGGCCCTTTCTCTCGTCCCCGCCAGACGTGCCTGTGAAGCAGACGGGATCGAGAGAAGGGCCTCCCCAGACGATCTCAAGGTCCTCGTGGGCTCATAGGCCAAGATGCGGTCCGAAAGGTATTTTGGGCCGGAACCGTTTAGGGCTTTGTAGGATAGCACCAGCACCTTAAATGCCATTTTAATAGAAAAAACAGAGTGTGGGATTTGAATCTCCCACTCCCCCCCCCCCCCCCGGCCTGGCTTAAAGGTGATTGGCTGGCACCTCAACAACTGGGAGGAGGCTTGTCTGCCCCTCAAGTGCCTGGGCCAATAACAGGGTTTCTGCCGCCTTGGTGCGTCGACGAATCAGGAGGGAGGGAGGTGGGACAAGGGAATACAATGCATTCTTGAATGGATTATGGAACTCAGGAAATGTCCATGTGGATCAACGAGTCCTAAATGGCCTTCAAGCGAAACCTGTCTATTGTGTCGTGGTTGATCTGAGATAAGCATTGACTACTTACTCCGGGTTTTTCTCTTGCGGTCAAACAGGGGTACAAAGGGGGAAATTTTGGTGAATGTCTTCGATGGAAAGGCTTGAAAGGAAACAGGCTGGGGGGGGGGGCGGGGGAGAACTTTCCAAAGGTCCTATTTCCTCCTATTGTAATGTGATTAAAAAGTCTGCCAAGCGATTATCTCCCTGACTCCGAAGTCAGGGAGATATTTATTTGTTATTTTTCCATGCAAGAGATGCTCTGAGATAAGGGTTTCCACAATCGCTAATTGCTTTTTTCAGAGGCAAGGCAACTTCCTTATACATTTTTCCAACAAAGGGAATGGGGCAGAAAGGGTCAGGAGAAGGTTACATACACAGGAGAAAATATAAAAATATAGAAATCATAATACAGAGAGTAAACCCAACTACCCTCTATAGAGCCTTGTTTCAAGGCAAATGAAGTAAGTGGGTGACTGCCAGTAAACAGCTAAAATGACACAGGGGGCCAAACTGTAATCTCAATGATAATGCTTCTTAAATTGTGGATTCTAATCCCAAATGTAGCCCCCTTATCTCAATGTTGGAATCCCAATACATCTGGCAACAGTAAAGGTTTTCTGAATATCATGTAGTGACTGCTGTAGACATTTACACAAATCTGTTGTGTAGTTTTACAGTGGACTCTGCAGAAGATGCTTCAGCTGTACTTCATAAAAAGGAATAGCAGCCTGTTTAGCTAGCCTTGCAAATGATGATTTGTTTTCAGTAAATGTTTAGTTTTTATGCCTATTTTATATACCTACTAGATGAACCCAGGCATGCATTGCTGTGGCCCATTCTGGCTAAATGGAAAAGAAAGAAAAAAGAAAGAGCTGGTTTCTAATGTAATTTCATAATGCTTGTGGGTATTCAATATTTTTTGTTGTTCCATTGTCTGTGAAATAATAATAATGGCGTAAATAATAATAATATTGGCCTATCTATATAAATAAAACAGTAATGTTCATTTGTGGGATTAACATAACTCAAACACCACTGGACGAATGGACACCAAATTTGGACATAAGACACCTACAAACCCAAGGAGTGACCATCACTAAAAAAATAATTTTGTCATTTGGGAGTTGTAGTTTATGGGATTTATAGTTAACCTACAATCAAAGAGTAGTATAAACTCCACCAATGATGGAATTGAACCAAACGTGGCACACAGGACTCCCATGAACAACAGAAAACACTAGGTTTGGTGGGCATTGACCTTGAGTTTGGGAGTTGTAGTTCACCTACATCCAGAGAGCACTGTGGACTCAAACAATGATGGATCTGGACCAAACTTGGCATGAATATTCCATATGCCCAAACATGAACACAGATGGAGATTGAAGGAAATAGACATTGACATTTGGGAGTTGTAGTTATTGGGATTTATAGTTCACCTACAATCAAAGAGCATTCTGAACCCCACCAACGACAGAATTGGGGCAAACTTCCCACACAGAACCCCCATGACCAACAAAAATACTTAAGGCCATCCAGTTCAACTCCCTTCACCAGGGCAAGAAAACATAATCAAAGCCCTCCTGACAAAGAGGCATCCAGCCATAGATATAGATAGATATGATTCACACACACACAGATATAGTATCATCGATTTGAAAGGGACCCCTAAAGAAAGACAATTATATGTTACATGTTTCAGAGTAGGCAAACCATACAATCTCTACATCAACACTGACAAAGAAACAGCAAGAAATACTGTTTACCCACAAGCATAAAGAAATTACATGTATTAGAAACCAACACTTTCTCATTACTTTATTTTCCAGATCACCAGACTGGGCCACAGCAACACGTGGCAGGGGACAGCTAGTATAACCTATATAATAATAATAATAATAATAATAATAATAATAATAATAATAATAATGTATCTAATAATGATAATAATAGCAATGATACTGGTCTATATAATAATGATCAGTAAGTTTTGGAGAAACCCTTTCCTTTCCTACACTTCTATCTATCTCTCCCTTCCTACCATTCAATCCTGTCTTCCTTCTGAGCCAGGCAGGCTCAGTGGGGGCGACCAGGCTGAAGATCCCAAATGGTGGCTCCGGCTGGATCCAGAGGCAGGAGCAGAGTAGAGGGAACCGGGGATGGAGGCCATGAAGAGGAGACCCAAACACTGAGCATGGATGGCTTTAAGGAGAGCCAAGCCCACCACTCATTCTTTCCTTCCTTCTGAACCTCCAGTCTTCCTGGAGGCATTGGCATGAGGCGGTGCCAGGCAAGGCTGGGCAGGGCGCGAGGCTATGGGAACCCAGGGCTTCGGTCGAGTCTACCTCCTTGCCTGCCTCCTTCCCTCCC